TCCAAGTTTTGAACACTTATCAAAACGAATTTTTTTGGAGAGCTCGCTTAGACTTTTACCCTTTTTCATATACACGAGATGTGCAAACCCAAACGGTGAAACGTTTTTGTAATTTTATTTTTCCTCATGCTTCCAAGCAGTTCCTTGATGAGATATCCAGTCGTTCCATCTTGTTTAAATAGTAATTAGCATAAAATGTTAAATGTTAGACAAGTTTAAAGCACTTTCAATTATTATCAAATGTAATATTGATAAATACAAATAATGTTTTTTTCGTGGAGTTCTCAACACTCAAATTTTATGAACTTTCTTGTTTGCATCTGTTGATACATCTTCACTTTGTGGAGCAAGACTTCTACATATTCTCCAACCGTAAATTCTAAATTTGATCGTAAATTAAACAGATCTATATTTTTATTACAGCTACCATATTTTTTTCACGAACATTGACCAACAACAAAAATTTACTTGGCCAACTAGGCTAGTCTAATTGCACTCAAATGAAGCTGAAAAAAAATTGAATTTGTAAGAACACAATTTACAAGAAACTGAAAAATATTAAATGCGGTGATCTATTATTTTAATCCTTATTGAAGTATTATGTATAAATCTTTGATTAAATATTTTAAACTTATCGTAAACGTCTTATCAACAATTCTGTAATTGTTTATCGCAGGTATTAAGCTATTAAAATAGATTGTAGATAATTACCGATTATTATCCAATGCTTCTTCCACTGTGTCTGGCATGGGTTGTCCTTTCGTCTCAGGTATGAATATCAATGTAATTACCCCACAAAAAATGGTCAATGCTCCCATTGTAATATTTGGTAACGAATGATTGAATTTTTCTGAATTTTTTAATTTGTCTTTTATGAAGTGCACCAATGCCGTCACCCCACTGAAGGCTCTATACCAGTGTTTCCCAACCCGAGCGTTGGAATGAGTCCGCAACGAGTCAGAAATTCACTGCGGGCCATTTTTGCGAAACTTAACTATCAGCCAAGTTTCGATCAACGTTAGAATTTACATAACACACAAAAAGCAGGTTTATTCGCATTACATTAATCGAGTCAGTAAATACTGGTTACTGAGTATAGGGCTGGGAATATATTCGAATATTCAACTATTAGAATAGCAATTCACTATTCGAAAATTTGGTAACACGTGACGCGACAGGTCACTTGTGCGTCGCTTAATCAAACGATTGGATTTCACAACACACACACGAGTATGTACACGCTTCGATAGATACCTAAGGGGTGTTTCTCGCGAGTTCGAACAACGAGGAATAAATTTTTTTTCTGGTAGGTGTCAATGGTGGCAACCCTAATTTTCTGAATTGAAAAGCGGCAATACAAAAAACTAAAAATATAACGGATAACACCATAAGTTTTGTTTTATGATAGTCCACGACCGATTAAAAACACTTTTTTAGACATTGCAAATCGCAAAATTTTGGGGGCTACCGTAGTATACGTACCAGGGGGACATTTTCCCTTATGATTCTTTGCTTTACTGCCTCCGCATCAGTACGTACAGTACTGGAGCGCCGTAAGTGTTGTAGGAACAGCTCAGATTTGTCGAATTCACAAAAATACGAATCAAAACAAAATATAATCGGGCACTTTACCACGCATTCTTGTGTCCACGGATTGTCATGGTATTTTCTGAGACTTTTGCTTTTATTTCCTCAACACAACCGCAGATTAAATTTATCAGAATTAAATTAGTAATAAAGCAAGGATATGAATATGTATTTTTGATTTACTAATATAATTTAAATATATTTTTAAGTATTATATCAAGTTGTACTTTCTGGACATTTATAGCAGATAGTAGGATTTTTCTAACGGCGATCAAAACTAAATATAATCGGGCAATATATTCTCATATTATTATGTTCGCAGATTGCCGTGGCATTTTAAAGAAGTAATGCTTTCATTTTGTCGAAAGTCGACGCAACCGCGAGCTACCAAGAACACAATTAAATTAAAAAAGAGAGACTTGTTAAATGCTCGTCGTTGTCATGGATTGAATATTGTGCGACAGAAAAGGCCATTATATATACACTAAAAAAGTCGGCTATTTTAATGAACGCGTAAATTGCGGCGAATTTCCGATTTTGAAATTTGTTAAAATTCTGTTATGTTTGGTTTTATTGCTTCTTCACAGAGAGTACGGTTGCAATAAACGCAGCTTGAGTCCGCAAAGGTTTTCGCCTGTGATAAAATAGTCCGCGACCAAAAAAGGTTGGGAAACGCTGCTCTATACGAACCTTGGTTTCAAATGATAACAGTTAACATCATTTTGTTAATTTCGTGGTAATTATAAATTTAACTGGAATGTTCACGGTTTTGTGCCGCTTTATATATATCATAAAGTAAGTTTTTATAACAATCCAGGAATTTCTGTAGTTGTCATGATTTTTAATACATAAAATACAATGGTTCTCTAATGCATAAAGGTTAAGGTAAAAAAAAATAGATTAGCCTTCATCTACCCAAAAACATAAGGAAAGGGGCCAAGCATGATCCAATGCGACCAAGGCCAGAACCAATGCCAAGCAGTGAACTTCTCTGTAGCGTGGGAGAAATTTCAGAAGAGATTGTGTATACTGCAAAAAATGCTGTTGCTACTCCCGCCTTTGCTAACATTGCAACCCGCAGTGGTGAGACTAGAATTTTCTAGAAACAATAACGAACAAAATGTCATAAAAAGTCTATGCAAGAAATTCTGTGAAAGTTGAAACATGCCTGTGAAAAAACATTGAATGTACTTTTTTCTATAGCGTTTGATTGACTGACTTTATATGATACAATTTGTGTAGACAACATCATAGTATATTTTGATTCATATTGTGCTTCTATCTATATACTATGTATGTTCGTGTTATGTTCGCGTACAAGAAATTTTATGACACAAACCTGGCATGAATGGTAATAACGAGCAAGAAAATCCACACAAAAACATGCACAATGCAAACGGTCTTCCTATATATTTAATTGCAAAGTATGCCACAATATAGCCTGGAACTTCTGCTATTCCCGCGATGAAGCAATTCAGAAATCGATCCTTGTTGAAACGTGTCGAATGGAGAATTATGCCATAATACACCATGCAGGAAACAAACCTGAAATTTTTCAAGATATGAAACACTAGTACTTCTCGTTTCGTCAAGTTGAATAATATTGGTATGAGATGACAGGAGAGCAATGCTAAGACATATGAACATGTAGGTCACTCATGGGTACCGGTAAGGTGAGACAGGAGAGCATCGAGTTTGCGGAAAAGATTAGTGGGCAAGCAACACGGATGCGTTCAAGAAATGGCTAATGGAAAATGCTTTCCTTCAAATAAAGTTAAATAGCAAAATTGTTTGATGGAATATTGGGCCCCGTAGGACTTTGCAAAAAAGTTAAAGTAATAGCATTCTAGCGGCGACTCCCATGAGTACTCTGAATACCGAACTGAAATCAATTGGTTTGTTGGTTGCCAGGAAAATCCCAATAACTACATCAGCAGTAATATAAACCTCGGCAAGAACTAGAATTAGGCTAAAAATCTACATGTACATTTCATGCCCAAATATAAATATTTACCATCCATAAAAACAGGTAAAAATCCTCCATTTGATACGAGAACGTAAAAGTATACGAGTAGTTTCTATTAAACCAGTGGTCTTCATTTGGTGTATCGTAGAATCAAGTTCAATAACGTTATCCTTGAAATATCAAAATAGAACATTCATGCTCATTCAAGATATTTCTCTGAATGTTTTTTCGTAACAAAAATGAGCATGATGAATCAAGTATTTTTTTTATATTTACACCATGGCTTTAAGTACTCGCCTTCAATATTTGTTGATAATTTGCTTTTGTACCATTTAGTCTTGCTATGGTTTCTAGTTCTCTTTTTGCTTCTTTCATTCTACCTTTTTTCAGCAACCATCGAGCCGACTCGGGAAACAACCTGATGACAAAAAAGACCTCGGTTGATTTGTAAGGAATCGAGTTTCACAAAGCCCAACATAAAATTGTTGAGAAAGCTAAATACACTGAGTGGGTATTAATTTCGTGTCCAAGAGTCCGAATATATCACGGATAGGGATGTAAGTTTTCGAATCGAAGCGATTCGAATCAACGTCAATTCGAATCGATTCGAAACAATTTAGGAAAAGGGGGCTTGATTCTATTTAAAAAAAATCAATAGATAACACAAGGCAATTGCACGACACAACGGCGCGGCCCTTATAGCGACCAAAAGCGTTTATGATCCTCACGATCACAGCTTTCCCAAGCCGTGACACTCCCAGAGTCGTTATATTTCATATTGGTGGCAGCTTTCGAGGGACCAATGGTTTTGCTCAATTTTGTCCGACTACCTAAAATGTAACAAAGTTTCACAAATATTTTAAACGTTTTTTCAAATTATCTACACAATATTATTATAATAAAACATCATCGCTTTATACCTTATTAAAAACATGTCTGCGATGCTTCCCTCGTTATCATCGCTTCTTTCAAAATCATGGCGCATACGGTATATATACTAACTAGCGTTTACCATTTGAATGAATTTTGAAGATCAATTTTAGAAGAAACAATCGCTTTACACCCGGTATTATTTGCAAACATAATTGTATGTAAGTAAATATGTAACTGAGTATACCTTGATGTAACAAAAAATAAATCTCAGCCGTAATATATTTGGTAGTTGTTTATATATTTGGTAATGTGCTTTTCTAGTAACTTTCTTAATTGTTTAAGCTCATTATTGTTATTTTATCAAAATTTATACTATATTTCTTTTAAATTTGAAAAAATTGAACGATATTATGATGATATACTAAATAGAATTGAAATCGGATTTATTGTGATTCGAAATTCGATTCGAAAAAAAAATATTCGAAACTTACATCCATACTCACGGATCTAGATAGCAAAAATATTGAAATCACCAGATACTTGTTGTAAAAAGTTACCATGAACAGGGCGCGTAACACACCGCAGTAAATCCTGTTACTGCCCAAAGAAATTTTTTCTAGTCTCGCAGGAAGTATGCTAATCCAGGTACTGCGATGTAGGCTACTGATGAGGCTATAAACGATCCTACAGCCACGAAGTTCCGCTTTTTTACACCGATGGTTTCAGAGGCTGAAAATACAATTTTATCTAGATTTTCATGTTGTTAAATAGGTATTTTTCGTGTGTTTCAAATGATTTGCATTAAGCTGCAACACTTGTTGTGGTATACCAATGTTCATCAATAGTGTAGTAGTCTAAGTGTATTAGGAAGTCCCAATTTTGTCAATGGAACATTAAGGAATGAAAGTGTAATACATCACCTTTGAACTACACAGACATTTGGCACTAACATAATAGCAGTTAGAATGAAGCTGTATTATGGTGGACGCTACTCAAATCAACCTGTATTTTTAAGCTTCATATTTTTTGCTAAATTCCGTCAACCTTAAATACGTGTTGCATTTTCCTCTTATCACCCCGGGCACGTGAGATTTCTGTTCCAAAATCAGGAAAAATACTGCAGAAATATCTTCCAGATTTTAAAAGTTGGAGATTGAAAAGACATTGTTTACTGATATTACGATTACATGATTACGGGATAATAGTACCTTAATTTTATTACCTATAACAAAACAAATGCAGTAATTTATATTCATTGCAATTCCTACGATGAACGCAAAAATGATGTAAATATCGTAGTTCCAAGAAATCGCTGCAATGGCAGTTCCTAGTGTTTGTAACACACATGAAAAGACGAAAAGGGTTTTGCGACCAAACCTGTAAAAGATTAATGAAAGACGCATTAGGGTAGCTCATTAAATAAGTTATTTTTGGCCTAGAATGGCGATTGATACAAATTTTACCTCGAGATTTTACAGACATTCGATATCTGGTTTAACACCGAATTTAAATCACTATTTTATTTTACGCAATTTTATATGTTTACAAATATTTTTGCTTCAATACATTGTTTTCAGGCCCGGGTAAATAAAATTTAGTTACATTTCACAGTTCACATAGGTGATTACTTTTTTAAAGTAACGGGATCATATTATATATGTATTACATCCCTAATAACAAACAACAATATCCATAATATGAAAAATAAATAAAAATGTAGAAAAAAACTACATAAGAACAAGTATATGCCTGAGACAAAATATAAGAACTTTTATAAAAACCTGTCCCCAAAGGCGCTGCTGAATCCACCAAGAAGTTTTCCGATTTGGAATATGGATATCACTAGAGGCGCCTTCCACGACAGATCGCATACAAGTCCGAACTGAACATGAACACGTGTGATTTAAAATGTATTAATAATAATTGTACCAGTTGAAAAATCAAATATTGGATATTTGAAGTTTTCATCATTTTAAAACAGGGTCGTGTAATCTGGTGCGGTGGGTATCCAGTATTAGTTAAACAAATACTGATTAGCATTGGTAACATATTCGGAACCAAAAAAGCAACATCAAAAATGACCATACATTTTAATAAAAAATGATAATATTAGTGCATCCGAAACACTCGATACTAAACAAAATACAACTAAATTTTCATATATATTTTTTACCTCTGTTACTGCACTTTTTTGATACGGTTTCATATCGAAAATCCATTTATTTTGACATTTAACATTTATTGTTGAAGTGTTAGTATTTGTTTTGTTTCCCTCTAGGGTTGCAAGTACTGGCATGTAGCATCGATCAACATCAGTAAAATTACGTTCCGGGTTAATTATGGTATTGTGAGGGGCGAAGTTCTGCTCACTGGTAATCTAGATTGAAATATATCAATAAGAAGAAATTGTAATTTAACTAATCTATAAGTTTAATAATATTGTTACATGTCGTTTTTTCTAGTTTACTCAAGTACTAAACTAAAAGAGAGAGAAATCAACGACGGAAAAGCGCCTTCCTTTTCTAGATAGAAAAACTACATGCAACTTTTATGGCAGTATAAGATTAGTATTTAGTACATTCTATCAAGGATAATGTCATTTACCAGAGTAGAAATTATAAAAGATTTCCAATAATCGAATTATTTCATTATTCAAAATTTCTTTCTATGTACAGTATATTTAAAACTTCTTGCAATACATTGCCTATCGAGTTGTTAGGAACACGGGTGGACATATCTCGCCATTTGAATGACTTCCTCAGCAGAGACTCTTTATTTGTAATGTAGTATTGAAATAAAAATTTACTAACGTTTTGAAATAATCCATTCAAATGATCAGAAGCATCACAGCGAAAATCCGGAAGAAAATTTGCGAATAGAAAATGAAGAGTGAATAAAGTGTTTGGTATAGCAGCAATGCATGTTATTGCAAAGATACGTTTGTGATAGAATCCAAACGATCCCACCTGACTCAGATAATCTTCGAGTTTCATTATTAAATTTAGTTTCAATATCTCTATTGAATAATCTATAACCTATTGGTTATATTTTCTAGTATGTTAACCTATATTTGAATATTTCTATCGTACACGGATAATATATTAGAGCAAAATATTGACTTTTTAGGGTAACCTATTCCTATATCTTCTTAGTCTGTGATATATCATCTTGACCTCATTATCCTGAGTAAGTTGGAAAATGCATTATATACCAAATGTAACTCAATGTCTCTCATATAACATCGCAAAATAGCTGTGTGCAAGACTGAAAGACAAAATCTCCCGCTCGTTCCGAAAACAAAAGCATCAAGTCGAAGTAATATATTTGTCACATACCGGATACTTGTTTCCTTTTATTGATTAAATATACGTTGTTTGCAAACTGCAGTCTGCGGCAATTGCAGTGATAAACGAATTTCAGAGAAAACCACCTCATCTATGGTATACACCTACCTACCTAAAATATACTCGGCAAGGACATGAAAGAAAAGTCTCTTTCAGGTGATTTCGAGGCCATTAACGAAATGAATTGTATTATGAAAATAGTATTGGCCATCACAATTTGAAAATAATAAAATAATAAACAGGAGCGAGTATAAACGTAAGAGAATATTTTTCATTCCCATGCTCTCGACCAGGGTCCTTCAAACTTTGTGTCCCGAGCCCTAGTACTGATAGCCACCATCACCGAAGTAGGGCAAGGATACGTATTTCGATTAATTTACCTATAGGATCGATAATTCACAAAAAAATTGCTGCTATATTCTAACACTTTTTTATTACGTTTTCTTGACTGCCTCCTTATTACTTGTCCGAAGATATCTGCAAACTCATAGCCGTTCTTGTCAATATATTTGAGCACTGCTCTCCTGTCTCAGTTGTTGATTACTGAATTACTTAGTCAATCTATCCCAACTACAACCAAACTTTGATTAGTTATATACATGCCCAAATGAAGCTCATATACCAAGTCAAAGTTGTCCGTCCTGAACGTCGTGTCGTAATACATTTCCCTACAGCTTCTACATACATACAAAATATATACCTTCGCACTAGCAACCTACGATTAATGTATTCACCGTTACAGTACTTTTGACAACACAGATTACAGTCTCCTAGCGGAGATGTTGCTTTCGTTATGTACTAATCAAGGTATTTTAGTATGGCATCTAATGGGGTTGTACCTAATTTACGGAATTTATTTTCAGTTGCATCGAGAAATTTTGAATTACCCGAGGTCGCAATTTTGGACCAAACGTTCAGTAGTGTGTAATTTAATGCATCGGTCAAATGCTGTTTTGATTTTGCTTTTGTACCTACTATTTTGGAAGAAATATGCAACTCTGCCTGCTATTCTATTTTTGCGGAATTTACTCAGTCGCTGATTGGCTTTAGGGATTTTGAAGTCGAACCCTGTCACTCACCGTCAAATTTTCGGAAGACGTTGCATAGGAATTTATGAATTCCGAATTTGAGTAAAACAATCGCGATTACGGCTTCATTGCGTAAGCGATTATGCCGTAATTTCGGGATTGATTGTGGTCAATTACTTGCGAGCCTGACATGTGTAAATATCAAGTACTCCTTCAAGTTTTGAATACTTCTCAGAACGAATTTTTCTGGCTAGTTTGCTTAGACTTTCACCCTCTTTCATTTACACGAGATGTGCAAACCCAAACCGGTGAAACGATCTTGTAATTTTATTACCTCATGCTTCCAAGCAGTTTCTTGATGAGATATCCAGTCGTTCCATCTTGTTTAAATAGTAATTGGCATAAAATGGTAAATGTTAGACAAGTTTAAAGCACTTGCAATTATTATCAAATGTAATATTTATAAATACAAATATTGTTTTTTTTTGTGGAGTTCTTAACATTCAAATTTCATGAACCTCCTTGTTTGCATCTGTCGTCACATCTTCATTTTTCGGTGCATGACATCTACATATTCTCCAACCGTAAATTCTAAAGTAATAATTTGATCGCAAATTAAACACTTCTATATTTTATTACAGCTACGTTCTTTTTTTTCACGAACATTAACCAACAACAAAAATTTAATATGCCGTTGAAACATTACTTGGCCAACTCGTCTACTCTTAATGGACTCAAATAAAGTTAGAGGAAAACTGAATTTGTGAGAACACAATTTACAAAAAAATTACAAAATATTCAAATACGGTGATCTATTATTTTAATCCTAATTGAATTTTTATGTATAAATTTTTGAGTAAATATTTTAAACTTATCGTGGACCTCTTATCAACAATTCTGTAGTTGTTTTACGCATGTGTTAATTGAGGTATTAAAATAGACTGTAGATGTAGATTATATTACCGATTATTATTCAATGCTTCTTCGACGGTGTCTGGCATGGGTTGTCCTTTCGTCTCGGGTATGAACATGAATGTTATTACTCCACAAAAAATGGTCAATGCTCCCATCGTAATATTTGGTAAAGAATGATAAAATTTTCCTGAATTAAAAACATTTTTTTAAATCAATCTGTGTATCAATCAAGTGTAGCAAGGCCTACACAAACGCCTATACCGTTACATACCCATTAAGTTCTATTATATATAATGATATAAATTAACATCATTTTGTTAATTCCGTAGTAATTATTTAATCAATGAATTAATTGGAATGTTCACAGTTTTGTGCCCTTTGATATCATAAAGTAATTTTCTATATAATTTTAGTAGATGTCAACATTTTTTATCTATAATATGATAGTTTCTGTGCGTAAAAGATAAAGTAAAAAAAGTAGTTGAGCCTTCGTCTACCCATGAACATAAGGAAAGGAGCTAAGCACGATCCAACGCGACCCAGACCAGAACCAATGCCAAGCAGCGAACTTCTCTGTAGCGTGGGAGAAATTTCAGAAGAGATTGTGTATACGGCAAAAAATGCTGTTGCTACTCCCGTCTTTGCTAATATTGCAACCGCAGTGGTGGGACTGGAATTTTCTAGAAACAATAACAAACAAAATGTTACAAAAGTCTATGCATCAAAATATGTGACAGTTGAAATATGGCTGTGAAAAAACAATGAATGTACTTATCCTATTGCGATAGATTGACTAACTTTATATGATAAAATATGTGTGGACAACATCATTGTACATTTTGATCTATATTGTGCTACTATCTATGTAGATGTGTGTTATGTTCGCAGAAAAGAAAATTTACTACACAAACCTGGCATGAATGGCAATAACGAGCAAGAAAATCCACACAAGAACATGCACAAAGAAAACGTTCGGGGTCTTCCTATATATTTGATCGCAAAATATGCCACAATATAGGCTGGAACTTCTGCTATTCCCGCGATGAAGCAATTCAGAAATCTATCCTTGCTAAAACGTGTCGAATGGAGAATTATGCCATAATACACCATGCAGGTAACAAACCTAAAATATTTCAAGATAAAAAACGCTGATGCTTCTTGTTTTTCCAAAAACTAAGTTGAATAACATCGGTTTGAGATCTATGATAGAATAAACAAGAGAGCAATGCTAATAAAATTTGAAAATAGATTGCATTCTGGCGGTGACTCTGAGTACTGATCTGAATACCGATTGGTCGATTACTTTTCAGATAAATGCAAATTCAGAATTCGGCGAAACAATCTACATGTACATTTCGTTCCCAAATAAAATATTCACCATCCATAAAAACAAGTAAAAATCCTCCATCTGATACGGGAACGTAAAAGTATACGAGCAGTTTCTATCAATCCAGTGGTCTTCATTTGGTGTATCGTAGAATCCAGTTCAATAACGTTATCCTTGAAATTTTAAAATAGATTATTCATGCTCATTCAAGATGTTTCTACGAATGTTTTTCGTAACAAAAATGAGCGTGATGAATGAAATAGATTCTCTATACCTATACCACGAGTTTTAAGTACTTGCCTTCAATATTTGTTGGTAATTTGCTTTTGTACCATTCAGTTTTGCTATGGTTTCTAGTTCTTTTTTTGCTTCTTGCATTCTACCCTTTTTCAGCAACCAACGAGCCGACTCGGGAAAAAACCTGATGACAAAATAGTCTAGATTGAATCCGTAAAGAATCGAGTTTCACAATGTTAACGGAGCTAAATACAATGAAAACGTGTCAACTTCGTGTCTAACAGACCGCATAGACGGGTCTAGATAGCAAACATATTGAAATTATCAGATAACTGTTGTAAAAAGTTACCATAAACAGGGCGCGTAACACACCACAGCAAGTCCTGTTGCTGCCCAAAGATATTTCTTCCAGTCTTGTAAGAAGTACGCTAAACCAGGTACTGCGATGTAAGCTACTGCTGACGATATAAACGATCCTACAGCCACGAAGTTTCGCTTTTTTACACCGATAGTTTCAGTGGCTGAAATACAATTTTATCTAAACTTTTATGTTGTTAAATAAGTATTTTTAATGTGTTTTTAAAGGTGTTGCATTAAACTTCCAAACTTGTTGTGGTATAGCGTTTCGTCTGACCAAAGTCAAACTTGCTGATACAATCAGTCTTCAACGGGGGTGAAAGAAGAACATTCACAAAAAAAACGTTGTCGGGTGTCGCTGCTTTGTCGTAAACAGCTTTGGTTTTCCGCGACTTCCCTTCCCCAGTAAAACTGTGTCTTTATTATTTTCTCGTAATTTGTGTTCGATTGTTGTTGATTTTACTGGTTGGATAAAATAAACTTGACTTGATACGATCGATTTTCCTCACCAGTGTATTTGTCTAAGTGTATGAGGCGTCTGAGGACGTCCCAATTTTGTCAGATGGAACATTAAGGAATATAATTTGTGGAAGTGTAATACATGACCTTTGAACTACACAGACTGTTACTGGGGCTTATCAATAGTTTCAATATACTGTGTACCCTTTTTCAAATTATGGAGCTACTAATTCAGCTCTTGTGTATTACCGATAGTGGGCAGTAGTGGTTCACTGACTTGTATTATTGGTCAAGGCCTCTTCGGCAAGAACATGAAACCGGGAGCGCACATAGTAAATTTGCTCATTTACGGTACTTTATCTGTTTATTATAAAACTATTGGCTGGATAGACGTAATTGTCATTTACCGCAATCATTCCCTGTATAGTTGTTTTATTGCAGGGGTGCCCAACCCGCTTTCGATCGAAATCGACTAAACTGCTCAAAATAGATCGCGATCGACTGATCGGTAATAAAGTCATACACAAAAACGAATGGGCACTGAATGTGCAGATAACTGCACACACCCATACAAAAACATTCCACCGTTGCCAATAGGAAGGCTTTGTGGGCACATTATTATTAAAATCGAGACAAAATTTGTAATTTTTGTGTTCCATTTAAGTTGTTATTTATCGATCTCGATTGGTGAGTATGTTGATAGGTATTTGACTGTTTGTTTGCTTCACTTTCGTATGTTACGCGATATCTCACAAAAGCGATGTTGAATCTGCCTCAAATTTTGCATGTGCATTCATCATATATCGGACACGTAGTGTCGCTTTTGAGTCAGAGCGAAGGATTCGAAACCGCAAGATCGATAAGTCGGCGGTCTCCGGTCGTTATCTAGTTTGAATATTTGATTGTACCCGGAGTGAATGTTTCATTATTTATTTATTCAAATCATACAAATCAGGTAAAGGGCATGCCTAATTTTTATTCGTGAGCGTTGAAAATTTTTTAATCTCGTCAAGTATTATCCAAACAGCGAAAAATAAATATTGAATGAATGTTACATGACTGCTCAAACTTCAGAAGCCTATCTAATTTATAATTTTCTCGCTTGCTTAGAATCAGAACAAATTGGGCATTTTGATGCCACTGCTACCATTGCCGAATAAAATTTATCACACTACTGTTGGAGTGAGACAATACCTTCCGCATACTGCGGAAGTTATTGTAGGATAGTTTGTCCGTGTAGACACGCGTTATTCGGCACTTCATTTTTTTAAAGTTTGGCAGCGGAAAAACTTGCATTTGTTACGTAATAATATGCTTTTGAAGGCTTGCCCAGACTGAAATACTGTATGTGGATATTGTTTATTGAGCATGTGAAGTACTGTATTCTTCCTGTTGTGAAGCACACAACTGGTTCGAAGCAATTTTTGGAGAGTTTTTTTTTAATAAAATACACTCAACATCAGACGCGATCGACTGCTCGAGACGTGGCGATCGCGATTGACGTATTGGTCACCCCTGCTTTATTGGATTACATTTAATAACTGGAGATTCCATTTAACTGTGGATTTACTTGGAATAAAATATCATTTCAAACAACATCATAGCTGAATATTGCCGGTGTATCATAGATAGCAAGACAGGTTTCGGGAGCGCGGCATAGACAGTTTGCGGGGCTATTGAACTAAGTTGAACTTTGGCTACCGTTAACACAGACCTTTGACACTAAGATAATAACAGCGAAGATGAAGCTGTGTTATGATAAACGCTTCTCAAATCAACCAGTATTTTTATGCTTCATATTTTATGCTAAATTTCGTCAACTTTAAATAAAGGTTGCATTTTCTTATGACCCCATATGAGAATTCTGCAGAAAAAATACTGCAGAATGATCTTACAAATTTGAAAAGTGCGAAATTGAAAAAAATTCATTTGTTTAATGATATTAATATTACATGGCTACGGTATAATTTTGCTTTAATTTTATTACCTACAACAAAACAAATGCAATCATTTATAGTCATTCCAACTCCGACGATCAACGCAGAAATGATGTAGATAACGTAATTCCAAGAAATCGCTGCAATAGCAGTTCCCAGTGTTTGTAATACACATGAAAAGACGAAAAGGGGTTTTCGACCAAACCTTTGAAAGATTAACAAAAGATGCATTAGGGTAACTCAGTTTCAAATGAAATATTTTTGGTCTAGAATTGCGATAGATACAAATTTTACGTCGGGATTTTACAGACATTCGGGATTTTACAGACATTCGATATCTTATTTCACACCAAAAATAAACCAAAGCTTCATTTTACGCAATTCTAGATGTTTACTGAATAATTCCATTAAAATTACAAATATTTTTGCTTCAATACATTATAATTTTTTCAGGGCCAGGCAAAAAAAAGTTTAGTTGCATTATACAGTTCACATAAGGGATTGCTTATGATTGTGGGACCATATTGTATATGTCTTACATCCTTAACCACCAACAATATCCATAATATAAAGAATAACTGAAAATGTAGTTGATTGCATAAGAACAAGTATATAATCGTGACAAAATACAACAACGTGTATAAAAACCTGTCTCCAAACGCGCTACTGAATCCACCAAGAAGTCTTCCGATTTGGAATATAGATATCACTAGAGGCGCCTTCCACGACAGATCGCATACAAGTCCGAACTGTAATTTAAAATTTATTAATAATAATTGTATTTTTTGAAAAATCAATTATTGTATTTGTATTTTTCATCATTTTCAACCAATGTCGCGTAATCTGGTGCAGAGGGTATTCAGTTTTAGATGGTTTGAACGAATATAACTGCTGTTTAGCATTAGTAACAACATCAAAAATGATCATACACTTTTAATCGTAAATTATGATATCAGTGAATCTTAAACACTCTATTCTAATCAAATACAATTTAATTAGCAAGTATGTTATTTACCTCTGTTACTGCACTTTTTTGATACGGTTTCAAATCAAAAATCCATTCATTTTGGCATTCAACAAATATTGGGGAAGTGTTATTATTTGTTTTGTTTCCATCATTAGTTGCAAGTAAGGACGTGTAGCATTGATTAACCCCAGTGAAATTATGTTCAAGATTTGTCGTAGAATTGACAAAAGCGAAGTTGTGCTCGCTGGTAATCTGAATAAAAAATATTAAAAGGCAGTTTTATCTTCACGAATCTATGAGTCTAGTAATACTGTTTGATGTAGTTTTCCGATTGCAAAATGCTACTCAGAGAAGGACTCAACTGAAAGAAAACGAGATCAACCACAGAAACGCTACAATTCTCTTCTAGTTAGAAACAACATGCAGTAGGATTGTCATACGAAACAGGAATAAACTGTTTATAAGCATCTATTCCCATGAATATTAAAATATTTAAATTTCAACTTCTTAAAATACATTGCCCATCTAGTGGTGGAACAGTTAGCAACACGTGTGGATATATGTCCCCATCGAATGGAATCCTTCTTATATGCTATTAGTAAGACCCTTCATTTGTAATGTAGTATTGAAATAAAACCAAAAATTTTACTAACGTTTTGAAATAATCCACTCAAATGATCAGAAACATCACAACGAAAATCCGGTTGAAAATTTGCAAACAGAAAATGAAGAGTGAAAAAGGAGTTTGGTATAGCAGCAATAGATGTTATTGCATAGATACGTTTATGATAGAATCCAAACGATCCCACCTGACTCAGATAATCTTCAAGTTTCATATTAAATTTAGTTTCAATGTCTCTATTGAATAATCTATAATTGATTGATTATATTTTGCTAGCGCGTTAACCTTCATTTCTGACATGCATAAAAAAAATATATATACTAGAGCAAAAATTTGACTTGTTGGAGTAACCTCTTCCTATACCTTCTGAGAGTGAATCTGTGATATATCATCTCAACCTTATTATCCTGCTTAGGTTGGGAAATGCGTCTTACACGAAATGTAACTGAATGTCTTTATATATATAACATCGCAAAATAGCTGTTTGCAAAACTGAAAATCAAAATCTTATGCTCGACTGAAAAACAGAAACATCGAGTCGAAGTACTATAGTTACCACATTCCGGATACTTATTTCCTTTCATTGATTATCTCACGCTGCTTTGTCTGTGAACTACAGCCATTGATAAACAAACTTCAGTGACCATTTTAGCCTGTCTAAAATCAAGTAGTATACCATAAACATAGACCAAACTTTAACTTCAAATGATGTTTAGTCCTGTGTTATATTGCCTTTTATAAGACTTGTGGATGAATAAACAATACATTACTACTAACTTCTGTGAAAAGCTACCTTGGAATATGAAATGAAATGTAATGTCCGTGGTTTATGAAACAACCATGAGACGTAATTTTTGAGGTAACCATATCGTTGAATGAAATTTGATTGAACCCTACAACATTCAAAGGTGGTAATAAGCGTTTGCAAATCGCTTAAACTTGGATAAGGTGAAAACATATGTTGAATTGTTTTTTAAATCTTATCTAATTTCTGACTTTTTTCCCGACCTTGCTCTGTAACGCCATCCAACTATATTATTTAATTTTTTTTTGCCATACAAATTACTGAATATTAGCTCGCTTGGTCTTTTGGAAATGTATATATTTGAAAAACTATACATGTTTTTCAGAACATCAAAGTCTGTCCCACAGGCAAAAACAACCCAACAACAATTTTAATTTATGCCAGAGTTTATCCAGCAGCCGAGAGCAAGGACGATAAATCAATCAATGAAAATAAGATTTCGGCTACACCCAGAAATGAAAACACAATGGATAAAAACGGGTTCTTCTTGCAGAAAATGCAGACTTCATCACAAAAATTGTATTGGAATTGTTAGATGTAGAGAACGGACTAAAACAAAACATATTTTTCTATATTTTGCTGATGATAATTGGAAATGTGTGTACAGTATGTACTGCGCAGATAGATAGATATATACATTGCTTGTATTTCAGTTTTGGTTCATTTTCAATCAAATTATAATTATCAGCTTGTGAAAGGATATTATATCTTACAATGTTGGTCACAGTGCAAATAAAATGCTGTCAAATGCGGGTAAATAAAACATCCCTTTAATAGATTCATGTAATTGTATTCATTCGCAATTATATGTCAAGTTGAAAACACCAATACAATAGTGTTATAACTAGCGTTATTTATTAGGTTTTGACCACCTACAAGTGCTCCGTACCACACTACACCGCAGGAAGTCGATGAATAATAAATCTTAATGTATATTTTAAACTACATGCGTCATGGGATGGAGAACAAATGTCAGTAGCCATGCAAAATATTTTGTTTGTATAAAAAAAAGGGTCTCCAGAAGTATGTGCATCAAGATGGCGCACAACCTGAACCCTAATCTGGTACACATACTATGTTCAGGTTGTGCATCAAGATGGCGCACAACCTGAACCCTAACCTGGTACACATACTATGTTCAGGTTGTGCGCCATCTTGGTGCACATACTCCGGGAGCTCCGAAAAAGATATACATGTCAATATAAAGTGAAGGCAGAAATTGTTTAACCACTGAACATTAGTGAACCTACCACTATGAGGACTTAGGCTGGAAAGCTGGCTTGAATGTATATATAATCCTAAATAAATGAATAAAATACACTTGAAAAATAGCAAAAGTAAACTAGACTGGAGGAAGCACTGATTTCTTCATTTAGATCAACTGAAGAATCAACTGAGTGGAATTACTAATTCAAAACCGGAAAAACTATTCCAATCGATCAATTCCACGTCGATGATAAGCTTTTGAAAACTTTGCCTTACAAGAAATGAAAAGAGTGCTGCCAACTTACGCACATCGATTTTATGACGAAATTCCACGCTATTTCAAATAAATATATGTTTTCGTGAAATAGAAATGCAGCGTTTGTTAGCTGATGTTTTGGATTTAATTTTAGAAAATATTTGCTTTTCTTTCAGTGTTACAATAAATTCTTCATTGTTTGTTGAATAGAATATCGTGTTACATTGTTAAGATAAAGTTATGGGGAATGGGATTTTAATTGAATCTACATTCAGAACCGTATATTCAACACATGATACAGCATTTTTCACATGTCTTATTGCCTACGAGATATGTATTGTCAAGTTGCAATATGCATTTGTGCGTGAGTCACATTGCGCCAAATATAACGTCGTAGATATTATATTTAAACTCAGAAGAATCTCTAGTCAGTACAAACTCCAAACATAATAAATGCCTTTGTTTTAAATTTGTAATGCCCGTGAACGATGCTTTAGATCAGAGGTCGGCAACCGTTTGTCGCTCGCGGGCCAAAATTAAAAGTTGCAAGTCATTGGCGCGCCGCAGATATTTTAAGAATGTTGAAAAACGAACGGATGATGTTTTTTATATTAACAATCAAGCAGTAATACACCTCTCGAAAAGAATTGTATCTCAAAAAATTCCATTTGAAAATTTTCGGCGCCATTGAACTCTACGCACTTAGCATCAACTTTTCTGCTTTTTGTTGTTATTTTTCTAATTATAATTAAATTATAGGCTCATTAAACGAGTAATTGTGGATTTTGTACTTGTCAGGTTATAATATAATTTAGTCTACACGTGTCTCACAATCAATTCTGTCATGAAAGAATATAATCGTCAAAACAGCTGTTTTGTTACTTTAATTCGATGAAGCGTCACGGGCCGGATTATATTACTACGCGGACCGGATCCGGCCCGCCGGCTGTAGGTTGCCGACCCCTGCTTCGGATGATTTAGGAGTTAGCAGGTGATAGCAAAATTTTCCGATGTTAAAAAGGACCCGAATTAGGACGAAAAAGAAGTACTGTCGATGCTATTCTTGCTTAAAGGTAGATGTTGAAGTTTCCAAGATGTTTGAAGCGCTCTAAAATTGCTTATTTCTTGCTTTCTGCTCCCCTATCTCATATACTCCAAAATCTTTAATATACAAGTAAATATATACAAAAATATTAATACACTATTAATTAAAAATAGAACAGTATTTTGTAAGTATATTGCATTATACAAAATGATTAATTTTACGCATTGTCGCAACTTAACCCTTGTGTATTGCCCAATAAAAAATCAGACAAAAATTTTAAATACCAATACAATTTTGATATAATATATATATTTACAAAGTCAAGATGAATACTGAGTGTCAAAGCACGTAGTACAAATACGGTAAGTTCGCTTCCGTTTTTCTCATGACCGAAATTCACTCAGTCAAGAAATGTCTTTGTCGTTTCGGTATTGTGTCCTCTCGGTTGACATTCTCGGTCCAACACCTTTATATCTTCAAATCAGCCTGTCGTGCACTCACTTATCGTGTAAGAAACGAACTTTGCTGGTCAGATCCGACAGCGTTCGCTGCGACGACGGCTATTGCGTCGTAGAACGCCTACAGAGAGCGAGAGAGAGAGATCTAATATTTCGTCAACCAAAAACAAACAGTCATCAATACGAAAAAATACATATAACAGAAATAAAATTGATTTGGTATTGACGGGAGGGAGCAATACGACCATGAGGTCATTTTTATTTGCAAAAGCACCCCTGTAGCAAAATTCCAGTTCATTTAGTAATGGGATTAATGTAGGCATATTTTTTTCATGAAATGGAAACTCCAGCAAGAGACAATACAAAGCTAAAACACAGGATCTATTTTTTCCAACAACCTCATTGAACCTATTAAACACTATTTATCATATAGACCAGTGGTCGGCAACCACCGGGTCGCGGCCCATTGCCGGTTCGCCGAAAGATTACTACCGGTCCGCAGTGAGGTGACACAAAACGGACTAGGGCTTAATAACACCAACCATACAACTAAAAAACATCACCCAACAGCAAACCAGACAAACACAACGTATTAGCTATTGCTAGTTTTCAATATTGACAACTACAAAAACGAAATATTGAAGTAGGCTGGATGTAAGAAACCGCGTTACTTGTATCACTGTCGACTATGTCTCCAAATTGAAAACTGTTAATGGCCAACAAACAAATAGAGAACTCACATAGCATCACCTTTTTTTGAATATATTGTCAACGTGAATTTTCAAACGCGTGTACTTTATTACATAAGCTTAGCCCATTTGTATGAAGGTGGTCCGCCAAAATTTTGATCAGGATACCGGTACCGGTCCGTCACTTAAAAAAGGTTGCCGACCACTGATATAGACCACCTCCATCACTCTTGTCTGAAAATATTTTTGGTGAACTAGGTACCGCCGTTTGGTACCGGTGCACGAACAACATAATATTCAAAAATTGCTCTCATAATTTCTACTAGACGCAAGTTTTTGTTTTTTTGGACTCAGAACGAGTATATTCATTTATTAGCTTTATTGCAATCACATACATATATGATATTTTTCTAGTTTTCCATTTCTTAAATTGTAGTTTATTTCAAAACTTACCTTATCCCACCAGTCCCAACAACGACAGTCTTTGTTCTGCATACTTGGCAAAAGGAATTTCGATCTCCAGAGGTGGCGTTTCCTTTGAAAATGAAATGCACTAAACTTATCATATGATCATTGACTTGAAAAATAATTATGAATGTTTTATTTCATAATCAAAATAAAAAATACAGAGTCATATCTTCGTGCAAAACAATGGAGAAATTAAAAAAAACTCATGTACAATTAGATAAAACATCTGTTGAATTTGATTATTTTGATTAAATGCTAATTTAACACGTATCGACGCCTAAACTACACGTGTCTAATAACTACAAATATTGTTTTACAGTTCGAATGGGAAAAAATCTACTAACGTCATCTATGGATATGACATCTTGCCCAAACGAGTTGGGATGTCTTCCTGGTGACCCGAAATCAGGTATGAATACTCCATCATTGTCAATAATGCTTTTGTAAACAGAAGGTCCAGCAACATTCGGACCTTTCAATGCTAAAAGAAGACCAACATCTATCTCGTCTGGTGAGACGCAAAGAAAAATCTGAATGAAATGTAGTATAAAGCTTATTTGGTGAGAATTATGGATATTGAGAACACATTTGTTAAATAACCACAAATATTGTTGTATATATAGTTTAAATGCGAAAACTACACTTACGTCATCGATGGAGATGCCATCTTTTCCAACAGATTTTGGATGTCGTCCCGGTGACCCGAAATCGGAAATGGATACTTCATCCTTGTCGATACTGATACTGCGGGCAGAGCAGAAGGTCCTGGAACATTTGGACCGTTCAATGTCCAAAAAAGACCTTCATCTACCTAGTCTGGTGGGCAGCAAAGGAAAATCTAAATGAAATGTAGTAATGTAATGTTGGTATTGCAATTATTGTATAATCATCCCAAGACTATCTATATCATCTTACCTTTCGTAATAGTCTTCCACACCGTTGTGTAAAATGTTTTGTCTTCGACTTGGCCTTACGAAGTAGTGAAGCAATCTGTACAATTTAGGAATCATGCATAGTTTTTATACGTTGTGGTCCTATTCATAAAACTAATTTTTAGGTCGTTCAATCAATGACCAAATTATGTTGTCAAAAATTCAATTTAGCAATTATATATATATATATAAACATATAGTAGTTCGTATTGCGCGATATTGAATCGTTACCGGTGGATGAAAACTTTTTTACATACGTACAATAATATTAAGAGCCTATAATGAAAAATGAGATCAACAAAGCAGAATATTTGCAACCACCGAAATCTTATTTTTTTGATGACGCTAATTTGAAGAAGCATCAAGCGACAAAGTGGTAGTTGTCGAAGGATAAATAGTAGGGATGCGACGAATCCAAAAAGGTTAGGCTCGGCGAAATCCCGAGTATTTGCGCTGGACTCGTGTGTCAGAGTCCCGAGTCCAATACTTTTACATAGCTTCAAAATAAATACCTAAAGTGGTGCTGTTGTTCGCGTATATTTGATAAATACGGGTCGTAATCCCCACGTTTGAAAAAAAACATTTCATGCGAAATTTCTAATTTTTACTTATATGGTATCTTTTTTAGTCGCCGTTGATACAGACGCCCGTCTTCGTGATAATTGAGATATTAATAAAGACTTGCCAACTGTGGCAACATCGAATAAATGTATCTTAAAAATATATCATAACAAAATAGCTATTCTTCGTTTGAAATCCATAAATAAGCTACTGTCGAATCCGCGAGAAATAATAATGTGTATTTGTTGATTGTAATTCAATGAGAGAGACGCAAACAGCGAAATGTGTTATATATATGTTAATTTAGGGCTGTCTGTTCAAAGTCCTTTTCACAAAATCATTTTTATTAAAACAAATAACGACGCTTTGAAAAGCAAAATCGAATTTATTAACATTAATTTAGAGTGAGAGTACAAATTCACCTACGACTCTCACTAAAAGACAGAAACGATAAATGTGAAAATTATTATGGTGCGTTTTGTTTTCTTTCTGTGCCTACAATTCTCAATTTTGCATAAAACGCGCCATCACCTTTTTCCCTTTTTCACATTTAGAAACGTCAAGTCAGATTATTAAGACGGGTAAGTAATGTATTATATGGAAATATTATTTTGACTATACGTAGAAATGTCATTAATTTACGTGATTTACTAACTAAGATATGGAAGATCAAATTTAACCCATGAGATGGGATTAGAATAAAATTAATATGTTTATGAGTTCTCTAATTCATAGCTGCCTTTAATATCTTCGCCGATTTGAATTTACTCGTCTGCCTGAAGTATAAAAACCAAACTTCGATGTCCGGCGTTGCGTGGGAACTAATACTATAATTCCCTTTTGGTTCATATTAACTGCATGGGTTGGCCTTTTTACATCGTATCTGCATTCTTCTGATCTGAACTTCTTTTAATTTTGAAATTAAATTGTTATTAACTTTGACCGATTATAACATATCTGCTAATTTATCTCGCGTTTTAATTCTTTATTCAATTAAACCTCTGAAGATAAAGCTTATATTTTTGTGTAACATTTGAGTCCTTGAGTGCTGTGTAGTAGTATAGCTGTGTAGTATAGTTGGGTGATATTGATGGATCAGCTTTAAGTCGCGCTGCCTATGAATCGCATACCAAAAGATATTGTTGCGTTAAAGTGTCATTTTTGTATATTATATGTGTACCTACTCAATCACAAACATGAAGTAAAGTTCTGTAGAGTGTAGACCATGTCCACAGACGTCGGTCGCATAAGATCAATTCCGATTATAATTACCCAAAGGAGCAAAGCGCCGTAAACGTCACTAAAGAACTTTTTTCGTCGAAACTGGGCTTATAGCAAAGCACAAATAGAATGACAACAAACAAATAGTTGTCTTGATAAAGTTTCCACGGAATGTGGTTTAATCAGACAATCTTCTCAGTCACATCCCAAATAAATCTGCTATTTTTTAATTTCCAATAGTAAACAACAATCATTGGTCACTAATCAGAGTGAAAATGAGATTACAGTATCTTTGTTTCTTTATTAAAAATGACAACTCCCTCTCATCGTGTTTCTCTTTGATACTGCCTTTTTCTTCTCTTTTGACCTCAAAAAAATATTTGGCGCGCGTGCCACATTTCGGTTCAGGGCGTGGTAGTGTGAGGTCTTTTCTGCGCTGGTCTGAGCCAGGTATATTCACAGTTTTAAGGCAGGAAAAAGGTAATTCACTTTGCCTCGATTCGCTTTTCTGGGCAGAATCTGAATGAAAATTGCAGAAATTCTTTACAAGAATATTAACTATTTACATATATGCGGCTATTTGATGTGGCTGTTATGAGTAATGAACACACGGCTGTTTTCTTCCCATTGAGATATTGATGAAACATGATTCGAGTGACAACTCGATGGGGTATGTGTTTCAAACCGGCATTATGATTGATCGCATACAACAATCTGTTTTTTTTTTAAGTACCGGTAACCAATTCTAGCTCAGCCACCATAGCTATTTCTACACGAATTTTTTATTTCTGCAATTAAATTAAAACTCCTAAGAAGACAGAGTGATCATTGAATTATCCGATTTATATTTCAATTTCCGAAACACAGCTGAAAACTAACGAATAGAGTTCAAAAACACGAAAACGAAGTAATGCTTATGACACCGCCTGAAAACCTGTCTGAGTGAAAAAAGTGTCTGAGCGGAAGCAAAAAGGGAGCATTGTTACGTCACTTTTTGCATCTTGCTGATTGGCCAATGTCATGAGGTAAACAAGGAAGTCGATGCTCGGGGAAAGGTCCATTGTATGTATTCATGCACCACGAGAGGCTGACATTGTACGCTTTGAACAAATAACATATAGAGACTTACTTGTCACTAGAGACTAAATGATGCTGATATCACAATATTTTATTACATATATTTTAGACTTATTGTAAGTAACTTCATCAAAAGCCGTTTTGGATTTTCTGAGAGTTATTTTGAAAACCCCAACTCTAACACACTTATTATATCATATGTATATATATCTAATTGGCTGTACATGCATATACCTTGGCAGTATTTGTACATCACCAAAATGGTTGTATTTGAATATTAAATGGCCGTATATGGATATGACCTTGGCTGTATATGGATGTTTATTTGGCGCTATATGTATATTTTTGGCTGTATATGTATATCACGTTACCAACCCCACTCCTTTTGTATGCACGTGAATATTATTGCAACAGGAAATTTAAGGATAATTTAGTTGTGGAAAACTTGGCAACTTCAAATGATATAAGACGTAAAATGGAGTCTGGCCCACGTCTTACGAAGGGTGAATTACTTATTGCGTAAGACAGTTTTTTATCTTACTTGTTGGTTACAACGCAATGGTTGACGGAAATCTTACAAGTGTATTGTTTTAACAAAATACGGAAATTACAAAGAATGAAACGACTTTAACCCGGACTGCAGATGCTCAGTCATCAATACCAATCTAATACTTCATACTTAGCTGAATAAATGTTCGTCTGACTGCATTTCCTTCAGCAGATCCCGATCGATGCCAACATTTCCAAAATTTGCGATTCAATTCCACCTCAAATCAATTATTTTGGGCCTAATATTAGTCTAACTGCATTAGTAAACAAATACCTGTGAAAAATCTATAAATCGCCTGGAAGGAAACGAGAAGACTGCAAATGAAGCCAAATCATTTATTAATTGCCGTTAGAATAAATGAATTTGTCAAACAGCCGAAACGACGAATAATTTGAAGACTATTCAAAATGTAAATCTTCATAAATGAAACATATGTAATCAGATTCATGTTAAGGGTAATATACGAAGACAATACAATGACACTGACGAAATCCTAACACTTGGTTGGACCAAGATTGTATACTATATTGCCATGCGGTTGTACACATGTAAATAAATTAACAGTTACTTAATGTCCTAACTGTATTATTTTTTAGTTTATTTTCAGCTATTAGTCATGTATCTTTCGTTTTCGTTTCACCTCGACAGTCCCACTCGGAAGACAATTGAATCAACAATTGTAGCTTAAACCTAGGTTTAACTGCATTAGTATAACTGTGAAGGATAAGGAAAGAGAACGCTATACTTGGGCCCACGTAATTTCTTGACATGATAAAAAAAAATTCGGATACAAACAACAAAAGAAGTGACCGTTGAAATAATTTTAAAAAATATTAAGCAAATAATATCACCTGTACTATATCCGGAACATCCCAACACAACCACATCTCTGTTGAGTTTTTAATTCATCAATGATGTAGATCTGATTTATGAAATGGTCCAAACATCATTGCACTGGAATATCTTCCCAGGGGTCTTTGATTCAACACAAGTATATTCTCAATTCAATCTAGTGCTATATTATAGCCTAACTGTAATCCATAATTTAATGAATATTTGTTTAAAACAGTAGTTTTGTTCCGCTCCAGCAGTTCCGATGTCTACATTCGCAGCTTGTTTACGTTCAGTCTGTTTGCATAAACACGATCTGAATTATGTAACATGGCTAAAATGCACTATATAGGCTTAAATAAAGCTAATACAAGCTAAAACAAAGTGTTTTGTAAATTCGGAATCTATCCAAAGCCCAAATCTGAATACACTTACTTTTTTAACTAGAGCATTTTCTTGTTCTCGATCGCCTCCATTTGTTTACGACGTCGTCTTCGATTCAACAATTACACACCAATAATCATTTAGTACTATGCTAACTGAGGAAAAAAGTTGATCTATATATAATAATAATCATTGCATCTCCCAATTTAGATTCATCTCACCAATTTCAGAACTTGTAATCATTAAACCATTAAACTTAAAAACAATATGCAAAAATTAAACCAGTGCTCACCTGACGGCGTCAAATTTGAAAAGACCGCCTGTACGCAGACAATTTTTGACGTGGCAAGAAAAAAGTGTAGGTGCATTTAATAAGAATCAAAGCGAGTGGAGGACGCCGCAAAATGAAGATGCTTTTTCATTGGTTATTAGCAATCACATGACCATGCGACGCATTCTGATGACTTTTTTTTGAAAAGTTCACTTAATTTGCACAACCCGAGTCTGCATGCGATTCCTCGTTATCTATCCGGAAGACGCTGAATAAATTGACCGCTGAGTTAGAGTGAGTGAAAGCCGAGTTCCTTGTCGAGATCTAAAGCCAAATCGAAATATCCATTGATCATTTTGATTTCATCTACACATTTTGATATAACTACAAATATAATCGAATTATCCAGATGCCGCAAATGTGGAGCACATTGTGTGTTTATCCCATCCTAGTTTTGCCTGACTGAACGCACAGTTATGCAAGAAATGAAAAACTATATACTATAGAAGAATTGATAGAAAGGTAGTACTTTACCGACGTTATGTTGTTGACAGACGAAATAATCACACTGATCTCTTGGTGTCAACTCGATTGTAGATTATAACTATTCCGTATTCCTCACGAATGTTTGACAAAAATATATAATTTTGACCAACCCTAGCTATAGTTGGTTCGTATGTTGAAGTATAATTAAGACGATAGAATTACGACAAAGGGATTCTAAGGGAAAAATAATTTTTTTTCGCTAAATTAGACTTTTTGTCCACGACTAGATATAGGTTGCCACCCCCCGGTTTTCACAAACTGAAAAGCTCTGAATACGAGGTTCTCAAATATATTGTTACCCATAAATTGGAATACCATAAGCTCAATTTCCCTTTACATTGAAAATACAATTCCAAGCGTGCATTTTATTAAATTTAATAGCGGCAATAACATAAGAATCCATAAATACAAGAACAACATCTTGATTTAATTAATCTCAGTGAGAAGGGTGTCACTGTTTCTGCGATATCAAACCTAGAAATTTCATATCATCGTCAATTATGAGCTTGACTCAATATTTTGTTTTAATGAATGTCATTGCAAAGAATAAGTTGAATGACATTAAAACAAAAATGGTAATGACGTCATGGAAAGGGTGGCTGTTGGAGACAAACACAAAAACATCTGTAGTTGCGAAGTCGATTTTGAGTCTTGAATTTCACGAAACCGAACTATAGAACCGGCTCTTCATAGCTTTTCTTTGGCGCCATCTCAACAGTTTTCATTTCACAAAAGATTAAGCTTCATTGCAGCTATAATAATGAAGACTACATGTCTCTATTATCTGCGAGACCAACTAAATTGTGATGTCACAATGTTCGCTAACTAGATGCGAACACGGCGCGACCAGTTTTTCTGCGAAGTGGCGGAAAATATGGCGATTACAAAATAAATCGTTACGTCAATGAAGACCCGGAAACCCCCCTAGGTATGCCTAGGTATCCTCTTTTGGGTTAAGTAACCCCGGTTTGTGTGCCATTGACCTAGCAAATACCATACGGATTATATGCCAGCAGTACCAGAATACGTATTATTCTCAAGAATAACATATGCAAAACTAAATTTGAAAGACTTGTAATTAAACACAGAGCAATAATTGCTGAAAATAAATTGATTTTAAAGAATAGATATTGCACGCTATATTTTAGAATTTTGACCTTATTCAAAGCCCTTTTGTTCGCTGTTTTTCCCCACACACTGCTTAGGATATCTTTTTCCCTTCTGAGTTTAAAAAATAAAGGCAAAGTCCGGTTGTTTTCCACAGTTGAATCATAAACAGCTGCTTTTATGGCTCGAAAAACACTAGCATCAGTTTCGGTTCCCCTTGGACATCAAAAAATCATACCTTATAATCAAAAATTATGATTTTCGTGAATCTCAAACACTCCATACTAAACAAAATACACAACTCAATTTTCATATATCGCTTTTACCTTACTTTTCTGGTACGGTTCTAAATCGAAAATCCATTTATATATTGAATATTCTCTATTGAACATTCTATATTCAATTGATTATATTTTGCTATCGTGTTAACCTCCATTTATATCGTATACAGATAATATACTAGAGCAAAAAATTAACTTTTGGGGTAATCTGTTCCTATATCTTCTGAGTGTGAATCTGTAATATATCATCTTGACCTTATTATCCTGTTTAAGTTGGGAAATGGTTCATATACAAAATGTAACTGAACATCTTTCATATAACATCGCAAAATAGATGTGTGGGTCGATTACGTTCGAGCCTGGCAACTATTACAACATTAAATACTCCTTCAAGTTTTGAGCACTTCTCAAAACGAATTTTTTCTGGCGAGTTCGCTTAGACTTTCACCCTTTTGTATATATGAGATGTGCAAACCCAAACCGGTGAAACGTTTTTGTAATTTTATTTTTCCTCATACTTCCAAGCAGATTCTTGATGAGATATCCAGTCGTTCCATCTTGTTTAAATAGTGATTAGCATAAAATGTTAAAATAGACAAATCATTTGCATTTATTATCAAATGCAACAATAATGAATACAAGTAGTTTTTTTTTTCGTCGAGTTATTAACACTCAAACTTCATGAACTTTCTTGTTTGCATTTGTCGTCACATCTTCTATTTGTGGAGCAAGACTTCTACATATTCTCCAACCGTAAATTCTAAAGCAAGAATTTGATCGCAAATTAAACACTTCTATATTTTATTACAGCTACATTTTTTCACGAACATTGACCAGCAACTAAACTTTAATATAATTTCGAAACATTACTTGGCCAACTCGGCTAGTCTTAATGATCTCAAATAAAGTTAGAGGAAAATTGAATTTGTAAGAACCCAATTTAGAAATAAAAACTACAAAATATTCAAATACGGTGATTTGTTATTTTAATCCTAATTGAATTAATATGTATAAATTTTGGAGTAAATATTTTAAACTTATCGGGGACGTCTTATCAACAATTCTGTAATTGTTTAACGCATGTATTAATTGAGGTATTAAAATAGATTGTAGGTCATATTACCGAGTATTATTCAATGCTTCTTCGACGGTGTCTGGCATGGGTTGTCCTTTCGTCTCAGGTATGAATATCAATGTTATTACTCCACAAAAAATGGCCAATGCTCCCATTGTAATATTTGGTAAAAAATGATAAAATTTTCCTGAAATAAAAACATATTTTACAATTAATCCTTTATGAAGTGTATGTAGCAAGGCCGTCACTCCCCTCAAAGGTCTACACAAACGCCTATACGGTTTAATACATATTAACTTTTATTATAAATGATACAGATTGACATAATTTTGTTAATTCCGTGGTAAATATTTAATCAATGAATTAATTGGAATGTTCACAGTTTTGTGCCGTTTGATATTCTAAAGTAATTTTCTATACAATTTTAGTAGATGTCAACATTTTTTATCTATAAAATGATAGTTTCTGTGCGTAAAAGATAAAGTGAAAAAAGTAGTTGAGCCTTCGTCTACCCATGAACATAAGGAACGGAGCTAAGCACGATCCAATGCGACCCAGACCAGAACCCATGCCAAGCAGCGAACTTCTCTGTAGCGTGGGGGAAATTTCAGAAGAGATTGTGTATATGGCAAAAAATGCTGTTGTTACTCCCGCTTTTGATAATATTGCAACCGCAGTGGTGAGACTGGAGTTTTCTAGAAACAATAACAAACATGAATGTCACAAACGTTTATGCACGAAAATCTGTTATAGATGAAACATGGCTGTGAAAAAACAATGAATGTTCTTTTCTATAGTGATTGATTGACTGACTTTATATGACAAAATATGTGTGGACAACATCAATGTACATTTTGATCTACAGTATATTGTGCTACTATACATGTAGATGTATGTTATGTTCGCGTACAAGAAACTTTACGACACAAACCTGGCATGAATGGCAATAACGAGCAAGAAAATCCACACAAGAACATGCAGAAAGAAAACGTTCGGGGTCTTCCTATATATTTGATCGCAAAAAATGCCGCACTGTAGGCCGGAAGTTCCACTATTCCCGCGATGAAGCAATTCAGAAATCGATCCTTGCTAAAACGTGTCGAATGAAGAATTATACCATAATACACCATGCAGGTAACAAACCTGAAATATTACAAAATAAAAAACGCTGATAACAAAAATTTGAAAAAATATTAAAGTACCGGCATTCTAGCGACGACTCTGAGTACTCACCCCAAATCGATTGGTCAATTACTTGTCGGGAAAATGCAAATAACAACATCAACAGTAGCCTACAATATAAATCCAGCAACAAATAGAATTCAGCAAAACAATCTACATGTACATTTCGTGCCCAAATAAAATATTTACCATCCATAAAAACAAGTAAAAAACCTCCATCTGATACGGGAACGTAAAAGTATACGAGCAGTTTCTATCAATCCAGTGGTCTTCATTTGGTGAATCGTAGAATCAAGTTCAATAACGTTATCCTTGGAATATCAAAATAAAACATTAATGCTTGAACACATTCGAGATGTTTCCCGGAATGTTTTTTTGTAACAAAAATGAGCGTGATGAATCAAGTAGATTTTCTATATATATATGAGTATACTTGCCTTCAATATTTGTTGATAATTTGCTTTTGTACCATTCAGTTTTGCTATGGTTTCTAGTTCTTTTTTTGCATCTTGCATTCTACCCTTTTTCAGCAACCATCGAGCCGACTCGGGAAACAACCTAATGACAAAAAAAATTCTAAATGGATTTGTAAAGAATCACAATGTTGTCGGAGCTAATAAATACAATGAAAACGTATTAAATTCGTGTCCAAGAGACCACAGAGACGGATCTAGATAGCAAAAATGTTGAAATTATCAGATACTGTGTAAAAAGGTACCAGCAACAGGGCGCGTAACACACCACAGTAAGTCCTGTTGCTGCCCAAAGATATTTCTTCCAATCTTGCAAGAAGTATGCTAAACCAGGTACGGCGATGTAGGCTACTGCTGACGATATAAACGATCCTACAGCCACGAAGTTTCGCTTTTTTACACCGATGGTTTCAGTGGCTGAAAATACAATTTTATCTATATTTTTATGTTGTTAAATGAGTATTTTTTTGCGTGTTTCAAAAGTTTTGCTCCTACTTCAACACCTGTTGTGGTATAACGTTTCGTTTGGCCAAAGTCAGACTTGCTAGGAGAATCAGACCTTAACGGGGGTAAAAAGAACATTATTATGAACATTCACAAAACAGAACGTTGATACGACCGTTTTTTATGAGTGTATACTGTATGAGAAAATCCTAATTTTTTCAGATGAAACATTAATAAATAAAGTTTGTGGAAGTGTAATATATGACCATTGAATTACCAGACCTTTGACATTAACATAATGGCAGCAAGAAGAAAAAAGCTGTATCATGGTACACGCTACTCAAATCATTGTTGTGTCCCAAGTGGGATTTCTGTTCCGGAATCAAGAGAAAATACTGCAGAAAAATCTTCTAGATTTGAAAATTGGTAAACGAAATATTTGTTCACTGATATTACTATTATATTTCATTACCTATAACAAAACAAATGCAATAATTTATAGTCATTCCAACTCCCACGATCCACGCAGAAATGATGTAGATAACGTAATTCCAAGATATCGCTGCCATGGCATTTCCTAGTGTTTGTAATACACATGAAAAGACGAAAAGGGGTTTTCGACCAAACCTGTGAAGGTTTAATATACGATATATTTTTGACCTAAATTGCGATTGATACAAATTTTACGTCGAGATTTTACAGACATTTGATATCTGATTTCACACGATTAATAAATCACAGATTTATTTTCCGCAATTCTAGAGGTTTGCTCAATATTTCCAGTAAAATTACAAATATTTTTGCTTTAATACATCAGGTAAAAAAACTGATTTAAATTGCACAGTTTACATAAGTGATTGCCTTTAAAAAGCTTCACAAAACGGGACCATATTATATATGTCTCCCATCTTTAACGAACGACAGTATTCATTATACTATGAAGAATAACTAAAAATACATTTTATATGATAGTTAATTGCATAAAAACAAGTATATATATATAATCGAGGCAAAATATAACAACTTTTAAAAAAACCTGTCTCCAAACGCGTTGCTGATTCCACCAAGAAGTTTTCCAATTTGGAATATAAATATCACTAGAGGCGCTTTCCACGACAGATCGCATATAAGTCCAAACTGAACACGTATAATTTTAAATTTACTAACAATAATTGTATTTGTTGAAAATTAACTTATTGGATGTTTGTAGTTTTTGTCATTTTGAGCAGTTTTGTGTAATCTGGTGGAGTGGGTATTCAGTTTTATATGGTTTAAACGGATATAAATACCGTTTAGCATCAGTAATATATTTGGAAGCAAAAAAACAACATCAAGAATAATCATACACTTTTAATCAGAAATTTTGATATATGTGAATCTCAAACAATTCATCCTAAAAATACAACTTAATTAGCATAATCATATTTACCTCTGTTACTGCACTTTTTTGATAAGGTTTTAGGTCAAAAATCCATTTATTTTGACATTTAACAAATATTGTGGAAGCGTTACTATTTGTTTTGTTTCCATCACTAGTTGCGAGTAACGGTGTGTAGCACTGATTAAGTCCAGTAACGTTTTGTTCAAGGTTTGCCGTGGAATTGACAATGGCGAAGTTGTGCTCGCTGGTGATCTAAATACAAAATATTAATAAAAGGCAGTTTTATCTTTTCGAATCAAGAGTCAAGTAGTAATATTGTTTTATGTAGTTTTATTTTACTAAATTCTACTCAGAGCATGACTCAACTAAACGAGATCAACCACAGAAACGCTTCCATTCTCTTTTAGTTAGAAACATTACATGCAGTGGGATTGAAATATGGGACAGGAAAGTTGAAATTGTCAAGGCCATTTCCAGTAATCGAATTATATGAGATTTTGAATAGTTTATTATTTATAATCCCTTTTTTATTTCCATGATAAACAGTTTATAAGCATCTAATGCCATAAATAATAAAATATTTAAATTTTAATTTTTTGAGCGATAGAACAATTTGAAACACCGGTGGATATATGGCACCGATTGAATGACCTCCATCTCATATAATATTAGAAAGACCCCTTATCTGTAAGATAATGAAGTATTGAACTAAAAAATCACTAACGTTTTGAAGTAATCCATTCAAATGATGAGAAGAATCACAACGAAAATCCAGTTGAAAATTTGCGAATAGAAAGTGAAGAGTGAAAAAGATGTTTGGTATAGCAGCAATGAATGTTATTGCATAGATACGTTTGTGATAGAGTCCAAACGATCCCACCTGACTCAGATAATCCTCAAGTTTCATTATTAAATTCAGTTTCAATGTCTAATAATCTATAATCGATTGATTATATTTTGCTAGCGTGTTAACCTCTATTTCTAACATATATACATAGAAAATATATATATATTCTAGAGTAACTAAAGCAAAAATTTAACTTGTTGAAGTAACCTCTTTCTATATCTTCTGAGTGTGAATCTGTGATATATCATCTTAACCTTATTATTCTGCTTAAGTTGGGAAATACGTCTTACACGAAATGTAACTGAATATCTTTATATATATAACATCGCAAAATAGTTGTATGCAAGACTGAAAATCAAAATCTTATGCTCGACTGAAAAACAAAAACATCGAGTCGAAGTACTATAGTTATCACATTCCGGATACTTATTTCCTTTCATTGATTATCCAACGCTGCTTCGTCTGTGAACTACAGCCTGCTGCAATTACATTGTTAAACAAACCTCAGACATAACAATTTTAGCCTGTCTAAAATCAAGTAGTATACCATAAACATAGACCAAACGTTAACTTCAAATGGTGTTTAGTCCCTTGTTATATTGCCTTTTATAAGACTTGTGGATGAATAAACAATACATTACTACTAACTTCTGTGAAAAGCTACCTTGGAATATGAAATGAAATGTAATGTCCGTGGTTTATGAATCAACCATGGGACGAAATTTTTGAGGTAACGATATCGTTGAATGAATTTTGATTGAACCCTCAAGCATTCAAAGGTGCTAATAAGCGTTTGCAAATCGCTTAAAATTGGATAAGGTGAAAACATATGTTAAATAATTTTTGGAATCTTATCCAATTTCCGATTTTCTACAACCTCGTTCTATAACGCGCTCCAACTATAATATATATCTGATTTTTTTGCCATACAAATTACTCAATATCAGCTCCCTTGGTCTTTTTGAATAGTATATTCGAAAAACTGTACATGTTTTACAGCACATCAAAGTCTGTCTCAAAGGCAAAAACAACCCGTCGCATTATAATTTATCTCAGAATTTATGTAGCAGCCCAGGACAAGTAAGATCAATCAATGAAAATGAGATTTCGGTTCCAGTCAGAAACGGAAACATAATGGAGAGAAGCGCGTGCTTCTTGCAGAATATGCAGACTTTATCACAACAATTCTATCTGAATTGTGAGATGTAAAGAACGGATTAAAACAAAACATATATATTTTTTGCTGATGATAATTGGAAATGTGTGTACGCTGTACACGTAGGCTACAGTATGTATTGCGCAGAGAGATAAATATATACATTGCTTGTATTTCAGTTTTGGTTCATTTTCTCGCAGCTCGCTTGAATGTATATATTATTCAAAATAAATGAATAAAATGCACGTGAAAAGTATCAAAAGTAAACTAGACTGGGCAAAGCACTGATTTCTGCATTCTATTCACATCATACTGTTTCGTGGCTTACATCAAGCACAGGAAAGCTGCTGAAAATATGTAAGGAAAAAAACGCAAATGTATTGACTTTCGGGCTGTTGTACTTCTACAACACTCAAGCTAATAACGATACAATCTGATAGAAAGACGAGAGAGCTATGCTCAAATATATGGACACGTCACAAGGTGTCGCTATTTTTATTCTGACACATAAAAAACGAATCTCTTAAAGTCCACAGAATTTTTTGAAATAAGTAAAACTAATAGCCTTCTGGCAAAAAGATCAATCTTTAACCACTGAAAATGTCAATGCAATTGGTCTAGTATTCGAAGAGAAAAGCGATTTTATCATGACGAAGAAGAAGAATATCAACAAAAGAGCTATGCTCAAATATATGGACACGTTTATCGATTCCAAGACAATCCCCAACATTAAAAGCCATCAGTTATAGCAGTGATTGCAAGCCCCGCTTTTACGAGACAGTTCAGTGTCATCGCGCTCTGTTACGGTACCGGAACTCCCCTATCTTTATAGGTTCCTGTCTTGTGACAGCATGAATTGAAATTGCAAGATGGTCCGACTCGCAACTGCAGTAATACCAACGGTCCGAGTCACTACTGTAATAAAGAGAGCAATGCTTAAATATATGGACACGCAGACAATTCCCCCAAAATCATTATTGACTTACCAGTACCTGTATCGGGGTACCTTGACGGTACGGGGACTGTCATAGATATTTTAAGCCCTGTGATGGTGAACCATTCTTCTTGATTATATTGAAACATCAATTGAAATATCTCGTGATATGAGTCAATTATTTACCGTATTACGTATTACCGGATCAGGTACCACAGTCAAACATTTCACATAAAAACGTTACTAAATAACACTCAACACCACCTAAATCTTACACCACCTAAAACAACTTTCGGTACAGTGACTGTCATAGCCGTTCAGGGCTGATGGACAACTCGACTACACGGACAACTCACCAGGCCTACCGGTATCTGTAGTCGAGTTGTCTCTGGTGAGTTGTCCGTGTGTAGTCGAGTTGTCTGCCTCCCATTCCACAGGTCTCGTGGCAATGATCTATTCTTCTCCATTCAATTGCAACATGAATTGAAATACTAAATAATCCGTGTCCTTCCCTTCTCAATTATTGGAACAAAATTAAACAAAAATCTCTTCCCAGATATTCACATGCGGTGCGGTAACTCCGGTACCGATATACCTGTAATGCCAGACGCTTCTTCTTTGCAAAACCATCTCATTCGATTTATCACGGTTTTATAACAGCAGATACCACAGTCTACAAATATATGCACACCAAGCGAAGCAGTACAGTATGGTTTACCCTTCCCCCTAACATCACCGGTAACCTCAAAAAAACTTACGAGTTTTGAATAGCAACGATTTTCAGAATCCGCCGCCACGCCGACGTTCGACGGCACAAAGAACATGAAAAGGAGTGCCAGCATATGCGTTCGCAGAACGTTCGGTGACGTCATAGCAAACAAAAACAAAGCTCACAGAGCGGACAAAAATATTTGAAATAAATAAAAGTAATAAATAGCCTTGTGGAGAAAAATTTCATCTTTAACCACTAAAAATTTCAAAGCAATTGGTCCAGTAATAAAAGAGTAAAGCGACTTTTTAGGTTTTCCACTATGTGTCCGAAAAGTGTCAAGGAACAACAACAACATAATATAGAAACGATCGTTATGTTCACTACGTGTCCAATAACACCAAGTACGGCGCTATTCGCCATTCCCCAAATCCTAGCAAAGCAAGGATTTCGTTACGAACCACCGACGTTCGATGGCACGTGATCGAAAGAACATAAAGGGTGTCAGTATATGCGTTCGCAGAACGTTCGGTGATGTCATAGCGAACAAAAACTGATCCCACAAAGCTAACAGGAATATCTGAAATAAATAAAAGTAATAGCCTTCTAGAGAAAAATGTCATCTTTAACCAATGAAAATTTTGAGAAATAAATTGGTTCAGTAATCAAAGAGAAAAGCGGTTTTTTAAGATTTCCACTAGGTGTCCTATTCTGGGTCAAAGAATAACATTACAACAAAACGATCGTTATGTCCACTACGTGTCCAGCAAGAACAACAACATAATATTGAAATGATCGTTATGTACACTGACGTGTCCAATAACATGTGCGATGCGATAAAGTGAAATTATGAAAATCCCTATGTTAATAATATGGCCTCAAACATTCACCATTTTGCTCTTTTAATTTTAAATCTTTACAAAGAGAATCTATTGTGTAATCTAGTGGTGATTAGGAATTAATTTGTATTTTAGCTCTAGACCAGTTGCTGACTGGAGCTGACACAGCCTAGACAAAAATATGTGTCCTCCGAACTTTGGCGACTATGGCGTTAAAACCCCTCATCTAATTTAAAAGTTTGCAATAAACACAAGTTGAATCTGGAATGTAATACAAATACGATTCTTCTCTTCCGTTTGTTTTTTTGTAATATTCGAGTTATCCTTTTGATTAATCTGAAAATTTTCCAAAAAACATTTTTTGGGGGGAAACTTTGATGGACGTAGTGTTTGTGATTGGGTCTTCTCTTTTTGACCATTACATTGTGCCGAATACCTGTAAAAGATGTGCGTAGACTGCCGGTTATGTGAATAATCTGAAGCTGAGCAATCTATGTGAAACACGATCTTCATGAAACTGAAAGCTTCAGCGAACAATCAGTATTAGCCTCTCAAGATTTTACACAATGACACTATCGTAATTTTCCCAATCGGTAACCAACCTCGATATATCTATCCGTGGCTTTATAAGTAAGTATTTTTATTAAAAATTGGGTATGGGCATGCCCAAGCCGAATGATTTATCGCAAACGATACAGTGAAAAGTTGGTTACCGGTACTATGCAGTAGAGTAAAATGTAATGGAATATATATCTCAATTTGAGCAACCCTATGAAATTATTGAATGTGGAATGCATTCACTCCAGACTATTGTTACTCATATATGAAGGATATACGACATGAATGCTCTGACGATAATAAATTCAAAAAATGAAAGACATCTATCTTAACCCAGTTTCTGAAGGAACTGTACTTCGGTTACTACGGGAATATTTATCTATGACGTAACAAGCACATTATCTCAGCTGTGACAAAACAATAGACGTAATTAATTGACAAAATTGCAATTTAAGGAAAATAATTCCTATTTGAGAATCGCAAGCAACCAAATCATTTTTGGAACTTGTATTTTTGGGTTTATATTGCTTATGATTATGGAGAACAACAATAAAAACAAGATGAGAGCCTGCCTCCAGGAGAAGCAGGAGAGTCGCCGTCGAGAAAATGGCTCATTGAAAAAGATTGCGAAGTTTTTCAGCAAAGTCCGCGCTCGTGAAAATCGGAAGGTTAGAATTAATTATATTACTACAAGCATTGTTTTTAGGCGAAAGTTTTTAAACGTTGTGATAAAGTATTATGGTTGGTTGCAACTAACAGTGCGTTTGTTACCAATGCCCGATACCATTAAATTTCATTGCTATTTACACTTCGACAATTACCACTTTGTCTCTTAATGCTTCCTTCAAATCGAAAAAAATAAGATTTCGGTGGTTGCAAATATTCTGCATTATTGATCTCGTTTCTGATTATAGGCTCTTATAATTATTGTACCTATGTATATATAATAGTTGTTATCCACCGGTAACGTTTCATTATCGCGCAATACGAACTACTATATATATATGTATATATATATATACAGGGTGTCCAAAAAGTTTCGCCCGATCATAAAAACTTTATTATCAAATTCTTTTTTTTTGATTTCAAAAAAGATTTATAGTCAACCTGTTTCTAATTGGATGTTATAGATGTTGAATGCTGTAGTCCCCATTTATCATACAACAAAATTTATTCAAATTTGCAATTGGTAATGTTATGAAATCGGGCGGAACTTTTTGGACACCCTGTTTATGGTGCCCGGTTCGTGCAGGAACCAATTGAGTAAATACTTTTAATCAAATCTTAAAAGGAACCCGAATGCTAAATTGAATTCCTGACAGCATAATTTAGTCATCGATGGATCGACCTAAAAATCATTTTTCTCTAGTTTTCCCCGTGTGTGTAATATGAATATGACCACAACACATATAAACTATATATACATGCTTTCTAAATTGTACAGATTGCTTCACTACTTCTTCAGGCTAAGTCGAAGACAAAACATTTTTCACACCGGTGTGGAAAACTACTACGAAAGGTAAGATGATATAGGTATTGGTGAGGTGATTATACAATTTTTGCAATACCAATATTACATTACTACATTTCATTTAGATTTTTCTTTGCTGCCCACCAGACGAGGTAGATGAAGATCTTTTTTTAACATTGAACGATCCAAATGTTCCTGGACCTTCTGCCCGCAGTGGTATTATCGACAAGGATGAAGTATCCATTTCTGACTTCGGGTCACCGGGACGACATCAAAAATCTGTTGGAAAAGATGGCACCTCCCTCGATGACGTTTGTGTAGTTTTTGCATTTAAACTATATATACAACAATATTTGTAGTTATTCAACAAATGTGTTCTCAATATCCATAATTCTCACCATATAAGCTTTATACCACTTTTTATTCAGATTTTTCTTTGCTTCTTACCATACGAGATAGATGTTGGTCTTCTTTTGGCATTGAAAGGTCCAAATGTTCCTGGACCTTCTGTTTACAAAGGCATTATTGACAAGGATGGAGTATTCATACCTGATTTCGGGTCACCGGGACGACATCCCAACCTTTTTGGACAAGATGGCATCTCCTTAGATGACGTTAGTATATTTTTCGCATTTTAGCATTTAGTTAAAATAATCAAATTCAACAGATGTTTTGTCTGATTGTACGCAATTTTTTAATCTCTCCACTGTGTTGCACGAAGATTCGATTCTGTATTTTTAATTCTAATCAAGCATTTTAGCATCCATATTTAATATTTTAAATCAATGAACATTTGATAAAGCAGACTAATTATTTCACTTTTCAAAGGAGACACCACCTCTGGAAATCGAAATTCCTTTTGCCAAGTATGCAGAACAAAGACTGTCGTTGGACTGGTGGGATAAGGTAACCAATAACTTTTGAAATAAACTAAAAGTTTTATAAGTGACTTGTGTCACTTACATATGCGTTTCTTGTAGAATATAAAATATAATGTTTATTAATATTTTCAGATGGATTCAATGGTTGATGAGAAAAAACGGAAAACAGACATGAAATCGAATCAAACGAATGTTAAAATATTTTTATAGGATCTTCCTGCTACGGTTGCAGGGGGAGAAAGTGTCAACACAGAAAAAAGGTAAATTAAAATTTTTTTGAGTAAAACTATATCTCGATCCCACAACACACGGGTTGATGACGACATGGTTAATGCAAATTCCAACTCCATCAGTATTATGGAAATATATATATTTGATCAACAGTGTTTGCGTTTGCGAAATCATGGATTACTAATTATACAAGATTCCCCAAAGTTACCGTAATGTTTTCAAAATATATATCTTTAATCTGACAGGATGACGATGAGGTGAGCACGAGCACAAATATTGATGTCCAATTGACGTTCAACCATCGAATGAAATTCATTGGGAAATTCACGCAAACTCGGAGAGATGTAGGCGTTTTACGACGCAATAGCCGTCGTCGCAGCGAACGCCGTCGGATTTGACCAGCAAAGTCTGTTTCTTACACAATACGCAAGTGCGCGACAGCCTAATTTGAAGGAATAAAGGTGTTGGACCGAGAATGGCAACCAAGAGGACACAACACCGGAACGACAAAGACATTTCTTGACTGAGTGAATTTCGGTCGTGAATGAGCGTTGAGGAAAACGAACGCGAACTCACCTACGTGCTTTGACTCTCAGTATTCATCTTGACTTTGCAAATATATATATTATATCAAAATTGTAATTGTATTGATATTTAAAATTTTTAACTGATTTTCTATTGGGCAATACACAAGGGTTAGGTTGCGACAATGCGTAAAATTAATCATTTTGTATAAGGTAATAATATACTTATAAAATACTGTTTTGCTTTAAAATATTTTATATATATTTACTTGTATATAAAAGATTTTAGTATATGGAATAAGGGAGCGGAAAGCAAGGAATAAACAATTTTTAAGCACTTCAAACATCCTGGAAAATTTAACATCTACGTTTAAGCAAGAGTAACATCGACAGTACTTCTATACCGTCCTAATTTGGGTCTTTTTTATCATCGGAAAATTTTGCTATCAACTGCTAATGCCTAAATCAAAGCATCGTTCACGGGCATTACGAATTTTAGACAAAAGCATTTGTTATGTTTAGAGTTTGTACTGAATAAGATTCTTCTGAGTTTAAATATATTATCTATGACATTATATTTGGCGCAATGTGACTCACGCAAAAATGCATCTACGATTTTTTGACAATACGTATCTCGTCGGCAATCAGATATTTGAAATATGCTGTTCCATTCATTCAATTAGAATCTCATTTTATTCCTGTAAGTCATTGATTGAATCGGACTTAGATTAAATAAGACCCGACAGATGCAGTTTAATAGGGTTATATATTTCATAAAAATTATTATAACGTGATGACCACTTTTCAATAAAACAGTAATAATATAATTCTGAATTATTCAGCTCTGATATGAAAATCTATTGTATTTGAAAAGTAGTCACGGTTGACTGAACAATGTGAAAGCTCTTTTAAATATGCTGTCGTTTTTATGCCTGGGGCAAAACATGCATTACCGGTACATACAATTGTTCCGTATATACTGTTTGTATGTGTAATATGAACGGTTTTTGTTTTCATCAAAATGCATGATGAGATTTCGAGGGACGACTATTCTTCTGGTTGTAGTTGGATTACTTTTGATTTACAACTTTGTGAGAGTTCTTCTCAACAGCCCTGAGGAAAAATGGAGTATAATTGACCTCTCAAATCAAGATGGAGAAGTAGCTGAGGTGAGGAAAAAGACTAGGATGTAATATTTATTATAGATGTATTTTCAATAGCAAATTATCAATTTTCATAAAAATGTCAATTACAACGTATTGAAATCGCAACTTCCATCATTATTCATATTAATTTGCTGAGGAATTTGAAAACAAATAAATGGCATATATAACTATCAATCAAACAACAAGCCTGTAATTGCATACATAGGTAGTCCTATCTCGTCAAGTAGAATCATACCCTTATGAATGGTCGTACTGAATCGATAACTTCCACCATAGTCATATAAATAACAAATCAGACGCAAATACTTGGAACAGTTTGAATATAGTTTTGGCTTGAAGGTAGAATATGCTCTTCAAAATAGCAAATAGTACACCAACCGACATGTTTTAAAAGATCGCAAAAATTTTCAAGCGATATATTTTTCTAATTTGTTCACGTCTCATACCGTCATTTGTTACCAGGTTGCCAATAAAAATGTTCATTACTTCACTACAAAAGCATCAAAACTTCAAATAAGAAAAATGGGATATAAATATGAAAAACGTTTACCAAAGGTATGAATAATGACTATACGATATTACGAACGAATGAAAAAGCAGTGAGATTATACTACTGCATTCTAGTTGTTCAAACAAGCAATTTTGTCAAACAATCATTGTCATCAATAGATAAACCCAAACATAACCAAATTGCTTTATTCTCACACTAGAAGACCAGATAAGTCTATAGGGCAAGTGTTTGTGCCTTCACATTTACCTACAAATTGAAATGTTTTGTTACTCATACGAATATCAACATCGATATATTAAGATGATACATTTTGTCAATTTTGATGTTATTATTCGGTTAAATGGATGAGGTGATCGAAAAAAGAGAACCCAACGACAAAATACATAAACAGTTGCTTCTTCTAATAAAAACAAAATGATCGATAAAATGGTCATTCCGTGTTCAATTATCTACAATTTGTAGTACAACTTTTGGTAAATTGACGTGTTTTGTTCAATGAGTAATATTCTTCCGAAGTTTCCTAGGATGATACAAAAACTCAAGAACATATTTGTTTATATGTAATTTAGTCACAGTCACACAGGGATTACAATATCATAAAACCAAGCCTCAAAGAGCCTGAAAAAAAGTTTTATTGGTCTATATAGACCTTTTATGCGATTAATATAATTCTAATTACAATGTGGGGAGAAATCATGAACGAATCATCCGAATGTATTTTTTTAACGAATTACCGGATCTGGTTTGACTCACCAGAGCTATGGATTTCAATTAGGATAACAAAGCACGTTGCTGTTCGAACAGAAATTATTTCACATATTTTAACAGGTCTTAGGAATTGGAGTCAAGAAATGCGGAACGACTGCATTAATGAGATTCTTAGACTTACATCCTGATATAGTTTTACCTAATAACCCTGAACTTCATTTCTTCGACACAAGTGATTACAAAAAAGGTACTGAGTTTTACAGGTAAGTTATGAAATCACTCTTTGATGTCATAAATATATTTATGAATTGAATAAAAATTGTAACAATGTTCTAGTACGTAACACGCTATTGCCTATAAGTCTTAATCTGACCACAGAATATTTATTATATCAAAGCGGTATCGTTATGTTTTTATTGATCTATATATGCCTCGAAGTCCTCCGCATGCGTTTTGCGTCAATGTTGAATAACTTACTATAAACTAAATCAAATACACATTTTCAAGATCAAAAATGCCCTATACTGCTCCACATGAAATTACAATGGAGAAGTCGCCAAGATATTTCGTGCTGAGAGATGTTCCACTCAATGTAAAACGAATGAATCCAAATATGAAATTAATATTAGTTGTCTGTGATCCTATCAAAAGAGCGTACTCGGATTTTAATTTTGAATCTCATAGAACCATGAAGAGTCTTCTAAGAATCCAGGTACTTCAACCTTCATATCTGTAGATTACTATATTGAAGTGGGAATTCTGTTATAAACCAATATCTTTTAAGAAACATACAGTCTGAAAACATAATATAAACCGATATTATTTGATGATACAATTATTAAAAAAAAATGGAATATTCACAACTATTGTGACGATCATTTCTGACCATCAAATGTGTCCCATCTAAAGTTTGAAAATAAGTTCGCATTGATAATTTTAATTTTTCTAATGGAGTAAGTGAAATATTCTATTTTTCCGATATTTCATCATCAATTTTGTCTAAAAGTCTTACGAATCTCTAACACAAATAACAAATATCTTACTTATATTACAAATAGCTAACTCTTCAATATAAATTCTTTATATAAACATAACACTATTTCATTAAACAAAAACATTCAATGTAAAGTTGTAGTAAAATTGCTACATTCGCGGTAGGATGCATAACCCTTCTTTTATCATTGCACAGAAAAATATTCCAGCGCCGTCTAACTTTGATGATTTCGTGAAAGATGTTTTAAAATATATAAAAGAAAACGAAAGAGTGTTACGTCGATATTTCCCATCAATTGAAGAACAGATCTTAAATAGCTGGTCAACTTCGAGATATTACCTCACAATACTAAATACTGGAATCTATTCTGTTTATCTGAAAAACTGGTTGAAATACTTTCCGTTGGAACAAATTCACATCATCAATGGTGAAGATCTTCTAACCGATCCAGTCAAGGTTGTGCAGGATACACAGAAATTTTTGGGATTGGAAATTAAAGTTGATGAAAGAGATATTGTGTTTGACAAAGCGAAGGGATATCATTGTATAAGAGTACATAGAAAAGACAATGCTGTGCAATGTTTAGCGGACACAAAAGGCACAACAAGAAACAAAACAATTTCTGGTATGATGAGCAAGGAAACATTAAATTCTTTGAAAAAGTTTTATAACAAATATAACGAAGAATTGTTTGAAATTATTAATAAAAGATTCAATTGGACTTGATGAATTTTATTTATTTATCTATTTTTCTATTTATTAACTATTTATGTTTTTTCAATATCTACATCTATTCGTTCGTTATTGACCGTGCAGTTTCGCTATTCAAAATAGGCTTCTGAATGGAGTTGATATTCAGCTAATAAATTTTAATATTATACATAAGCCTACTCAATCTTAGAAGTAGTGAGTTTCTTATACAGAATTGGTTAAAAAATTATTAATATTCGCTCTGAAGTGGCTAAATGAAGAAAACAGGTCTCTTTCCCCCATTTTCCGCCTCATCCCCTTATTAAATATATTTCTCTTTAATATTATCTTGTGAGAAATATTCGAACACGTTTGTAATTAAAAAGTGCATGGTCATTTCACGCAAGCGGCTCTTTTAAAAGAAAATTTCCTCAAACTGCTAATTATTTTACATATCAAGGTAAATTTAGTGATGCGTCATTCATGTTTTTAAATTTGATGTATTAGTGAGCCCAATTTAGTAAGAGATAAATTAATTATATAGAGATTGAAATAAGCTGTAACTACCACATTAATGAGAAAATTCATCTAATTTTAAATAATAATTACTTAAGCCAGCAGTATTGGTTGAACTATTATTTTGAAATTTGTTCGTTCTAAATACAATGTTAAATTGTGAATCTGCTTTGCTGATCAAGCGGGCTACTGTTGTTATGAAGCCATTTTGCTTCAACCTCTTGCAAATTTTATCACAAAATCTGGCTTTTCAAATAAGAAAGCAATGTACACTTACATGGACATGAAGATCTAATGACGAATATGTACACCACAATGGAAGAAAAATGCCTGATAAAATAATTTCCCCGAATGCCGCGTGAGGGTGTGTCCAATTGGGGGGATTACGCTAGACATCCTTCTAATCATTCCTTCCTTATTTAAATACTGAACAGTTTCAAAACGAACTAAAATTGTTCATAGACCTACCAAGAAAGACAACAATTCAGAAAAAAACGATTTATAGGTGCATTGAAAATTTCGTTTTTATAAAAAAAAAACTCACACAACCCATAATACATCATAATCCTAGCGCTTGATTCGGGTAACAATTTTGCAACTCTTTTATAGCAATTTAGCAACTATGTGATCCAATGATATATGCTTATCTCTTCATTTCTGATATTTTTACACTAAAATCAAAACCAAACTATAATTTTAATGAATATATTTATAATATTCTTGCATACCCCACTATGATCAAACCCCGCAACTCTTTGTTTGTGATTTTATTGAAAATGCAATTTACAAAAACAAGAAAATATTCCCACAGAACACAATACAACAAAATTTGAAAAAATTACATAAAAACATATTTTAAAACTTTTCTTCTGATCAACGTAGCTCAGGCGTCAAAATCATAAATGAATACCACAGCAGGAAAATGACGTTTCTTTGTACATTTCTTCGGAATGATGCAATGTATGTAGCAATGACCCCCATTGCTGCTACGTTTCGACGTCAAAGAGATCAGCAACATCTGTAACAAAAAAAATCATTTTGTTCATAACTAACATCAATCAGGGCATACTTCGTCAGTAATGCACGTTCTTTAATATTCAATTTTATTTGTACGGACATGAAATATGAAAACTCTACCAGTAAATGATAGGGTGAGTATTCATGCCTTTTGTATATCCTAGGTAAAAATATCTTTCATATTTTCCATATTCAATATACAATTGTAATGCTTGAGATTTGGAAATTAGAATGAATTTTGAAAACTCGGTCGACGAAATGTTATGTTGCTCTTAAATTTGTTCATTCAAAATGAAATAAATTTGAGGTATTTCAGTTTCATGTCGCGTATATCTGACTGATTATTTTCAATGTTGTAGGTAAGGCTTAGCATTTTCGAATATCTGAATATATATTATCGCTAGATGAAGATTCAACATCCTTACACTTACCATAGTCGATGTTTTCATCTGGATCGCTTCTTTTGTACCTCCATATCACAGGCCCAAATCTGTGACTCGCATGCCTTCAAAAGTAATTAAAATTATTCTCAAGTTCTAGTGAAATGCGGTGAAGCGCAGTAAGAATTTATTCGGGTAAAATTACTGAAACAACACATAAATTTAGGAGTTATATAATATAGCGATGCCTATGAGTTATAAAATATATAGAATAACACAAACTATTTATTGAATGCTCGTTCAAATATCTTGCATCACACTTTATTTATCCAAGTTTGGTCTGAACAAATTTTACAGCAATGTTGTGTGAAAGCGTGAACCAACCCTTTCGAACTACATTCAATACAGCTGTTTCACGTCTTACTGTGGCATCCTAGCAGCCAGAACACAGACACTCACTCAGATGCATAGAGAAAGAAGTATTAGCTAGGTACGCTACCCCAATAGACCAAATAAATTATATTTGAGTGCACAACTGAAGCATATCAAATATTTATAGTAAAATTTCGGTTGGCATCTGCATCGATACTGGTTTAGATGCAAAATTGTTCCTTCTAGTTTACAGAGTGATTGATGCAACTGCAGCAGTAGTTCAGGATTGGTATAATAAGGTCTGAATATTTGTTCATTTGGATTTCAAAAACGTACCTTGTCGAATAAGCTATCTGATATCGTGACATTCTTGATACCATTTCATAAATATATTTTCTGTAATAAGTTGGATATGTACCATCCGTTGACTCAAACATTGTAATTGTCAAACAGCATATCATAAGTGCTAATTTAAAATAGTTATAGGAAGACATCTGGCATTATGATAAAAACAATAAGATTAAAACTAACAAATATCAAAGATTTTGTAGTACAAAATACTTACGTAATGCTATAAGGTGAACTGCACGTTTAAAGTCACGTTAGACTTGATTTTGTACGAAGCAAACCAATATTTTTAATATTCAATAGTCACTTTACAAATAGTCATTCGGGCGCCGTCAAAGATCATCGCTACTCATGTTATTGGATTGAACCTTCTCTCCGGGATTAAATCGAAAATATAGTTTGAGTTACGGTAGTTCTCGTTTTAGTCGCGTTTTAAAGTTTCGGCAGTTTCCAAAGTTTAGATAGTTTACAACTATTCAAATAAAACAAAGCATAAAATAGTCCTGCGTAGATAGTTCAGAGATTGCCCGTTTTTATTAAGAAGGGGTTATAAAACAAAATGACTATTTCTTGTAGAGTGCTCTCCTTTGCTCTCACTTTTAATTCTTTTCACTCTCTCTTGCCTCCCGCTTCATTTGAAAGAAGTTACCAGCTAGGGCTACTCAACATGATATCACACGATCATCTAACGATTAATTTACCCTACACGCCTGATATATAGAGAAAATGTGCTGCGATTAATAGATAATTATACATTAGCATCCGTCTAACGATCTTTAGAATTTATTCCTGAAACTGTTTTACTTCTTCATGAATTTCTTCTAATTGCAGCTATTTAATGTATTTAATTTAGTTTCTATGTATTTGAAATTCATTAAATTATATAATTATCGTACTATTTCGTGATATTTACAATGTCGATAGACAAAAATATTCTTGTTATCATACACTCAGAATTAAACGTGTGGTTTATAATGGCATTTAGTTTATTAATTTCTCCTTAATATACACAAGGTATTTTGGGACTTCGAATAAACTCAGATTAGACTTGAACATGATAGTCACGAAGAAGCTAGCATACGTATAAAAACATTTAACGTCAAATGATCGAATCGTTTCTATCTTTTCTTCCACAAGCTTAAGAAAATATTCTGATATTCATTTCCCCCCCCCCCCCCAAGCCCCCCCCCCCCGCACATGCACGCACATATTTTATGGAATACCACATCCATTGCCATGCTGTCATATCTAACAAATATTTCTCAAATCATCGGAAATAGCAATTTTGTGTCTGTCTGACCGTCTGACAGATCGGGTATTCCAACTTCATTTTCCCCAAATATTTCTTTTTTCTTGAATGAAGTTTAGTGATATATACTTAGTTGCGCAAGCTATTATGCAAATCTGCGTGTTAGAACGCTCACCGACGTAAAACGTCCATTTTAGCTTCTATTGGGATAGATCAGGGATGGCGAACCTTTTTCAATGAATGGGTCAAAAATTATAATTTTACCGCGGAACAGAAGAGAGTGGGTCACAGATATTTAATTCACGTTTGTATCTATAAGAAACTTCTGAAACAAATCTTATAAGCTGGTGTTGGTGTAGTTTTGGGATTTACTTATGCAGCACTTCTATCAGGGACTAGATTTTTATTTCAAGTCTGAAAGATTTTGTTTTCTCAGCGGCATTGTAGGCGAGAAACTAATAAAATGCAAAGTAGCATCTAGTTCTCGTATAACCCCTAAAACAGTCTGCAGATGCACTTCCGAAAGAGACAGGCGTTGCGAGAAATGAACATATCAATTGTAATGATATGTCATAAACGATGTCGGGCCCAATAGCTGAATAGCGGTATACAACAGTGCATACATGCGTCCAAATTTAGGGGTTTTGAAAATTACCATACCGGCCCGAAAATCAACATTTTGAATTCGAGCTATCGCAGCCCTGACTGTCCAACTGACGGTACATTATAATAGTTTAGTTATTGTTAGATTAATTTAAGGCCGGTTTTATCAATTTTTATCACTGATATGTTAGCATTTTTTTTTATTTTATTCGTGCCTTCGCTTGGCGGGTCACAAATAAAACGCGGTGGGTCACTTTGTGACCCGCGGGTCAGTGGTTCGCCATCCCTGGGATAGATTGTGGCGCAAAAATAATATAATTTTTTTTGAATTTTTATTAAATCATTTTTAATACATTGAAATTAAACTTGGTTCTCTATTTTTTCGTATTTTTTGTCTTAATATAAAAATTGATTCTATATGGCAAAAAAATAAGTTTTAAATGTTTTTATGTTTGATGAGATTTATGTAAATATTTATCACGAAACCTACAACTGCTCAAGCAAAACATTGATGTCAATGTTACATTTAAAACTTGCCCTTTTCACAAACTACCGCGGCAGGATTGTAAAAGTCCGTTAGTAACGACAGTGCAATGAGTAAACAATGGGTGAATACATATGAGTGCGTATTCATAAAATTGACTTGGACTATGGTTAGAAATTTTATCATTTATTAGTCTTTTTAGCTTCTAAAAAATTATTCAAAATGGTTTTGTATTGATTCCTTCAAGATTTCATTAATAGAATTCAAGAAACACATTTTTGTAATATCGAAAACACTAAAAAAGTCACCAGACTATGTATGTTATACTGAAATTGTACACTGGTTTATGTCACAAAATCCGATTTGGGGCACAACTCCCAAATTTTTAACAAAACAAAAATGTTAAAAGAATTAATGCCAGTTATCATCAATTTTAGCGTGTAACCGATTTGAAAATAATAATAATTGGAAGCCAGGAACAAAAACTGTGTTTCATGATGTAATTAACTTAACCATACTGATAAACCCGTATTAAGCCAAAAACAGTAACATATAATTACGCATAATTACTCCCTAAAATATCATATTTTTGTCCGCACGTATTTCTCTGTCTATATCTGCAACAAATAATAAATGTCTGTCTTGAATGTCGTCTTCTGATCAATGTGGCTCGTGCGCCGAAAGAAAAAAAATGAATACCAGAGCAGCAAGATGCATAATTTTATTGGATTTATTTGGAATAATTGCATATAAAGTATCATTGCTATCAGTCCTCAGACATCGAAGAGATCTCCAACTTCTGTAACATAAGCAAAATCAGTACATTTTACCACTAACACAAACCGGCGCGTACTACGTCACAAATATAAACATTCTTTATCATATAATTATATGCGTATGGACATGAAATGAGGCAATTTCACAATTATAGTTTAAATATAAGTTAAATATACTTGACTTTTGTACCCGCAGCAGGGTTGAAGTATAATTTTTATACTTGTACTATTCAATATACAACTATGATTCATTGGGTTTGTATAGTAATTGTATTGAAAACAAAAGAGCGATGACCAAATATATAAACACGAAGAGCAAAACGAAGTAGTACAGGTATGCAATCTTTTACAGTGGACTACCGGTACGGCAGTCTTCACGACTGAGGCGAAACCGGAATTACCACAAGGTAGGCAATTTTTGATGACATCATCGCAAACAAAAAATGAATTCCTTAGAGCCCATAAAAATTGAAAAAAATAACAGTAATATTCTTCTAGTAAAAAGATCATCCTCGATCACTGAAAATTTTAAACCAATTGGTCCAGTAGTTATTGGGAAACGTGATTTTTTTCATAACAATAAGAGAAAACAAAACAATCCATATGTACATTCCGTGTCCAAAAAAGACGACGAAACGCAATCCAGCTATCGAATGTTTCACATTATTTATCCCCTGTTTAATCAAATTTTACAAATATACAAAATATTTCAGTTTCACACGGCATATAATTGTTAAGTTTCGATATTGCAGGTTTTCGCTTGATAACGATTTTAAAATTTAACACCAGTACACTTACCGTCGTCGCTACTGTCATCTGAATTGCTTTCCGCAAATGTCCATAATATATTACTGCGGACCGAGTGCCTTTAAGAAGAAAAAAAATTAATTATAGTGATACAGGTAAAAGAAAAGAAAATTTGACGGGTAAAAATATTGGAATGGCTCAAATTTAGGACTAAGTAAGAAATGTAGCAATGGTGTTGCCTTGTAGAATATTATATATAGAATGATAAATATGATATGTGGGTGGGTGCTTTGAAGGTCTTGCAACCGACTTTCACAAAGTTCTGTCATACTACAGTTTACAAAAGTTGTGAGTAAAAATTTGACCAAATCATCATAGTCGGTTCGGTTCTTTTTGCAGTCGAAATGTACAACACAAATACGAAGAGAATGGAGCAGAAATTAGGTACGCTACTCCTTCAAATCAAATGGAAATAATATTTTAACAACCAAAACATATCACATAATATATCTTTATAGACAAATTTTGGTTTGCATAAGTTCAATATAATATTGCCCAAATATATCTTCATGTACTCCATTGCAATTTTTGTAGCCTGTATCTCAGTTAGATGTAAATTTGAATAGGGACTTTATGTATCAAAATGTTAAATCACTTTTTTCAGGTAAAAACTCGCACCAGTAACTACCGTTTTAATAAAAAATGTTTTTTTTTCGTTCTCCAGTTCAAGTCGCAGTTCAGGATTGATATGAATACAGCAGTACATATTTGTAAATAAATATTTGTCCAATTGAATTTCAGAAACGTACCTTGACATGTGGGCTATCTCAAATCTTGGTCGAAATTTTTCTACAATTTCATAAACGAAAGTAGTTGGATCATCCGTGCCATTCGTTGTCTTAAACAATGCGCTTGTCAAAATACATATTGTAAGTACGAATGTAAAACTTATAGAGTAAAACATCTGGTATTGCAATGAAAACAAGAATATTAGATTTAACACATAAAAAAAATTTTCGGACCTCCTGAAGTATGCGCACCAAGATGGCGCACAACCTGAACTCAGGTTGTGTACCAGGTTAGGGTTCAGGTTGTGCGACATCTTGGTGCGCATACTTCAGTAGTACCGATTTTTCGATACAAAACACTTTTAAAAGACATTCAAAACTCTCAAAACTTTGAGATCCGCAAGACTATGAGAATTTTGAGTTACGTAAGTTTGGGCTTAAGTTTTTTGGGCAAACTAATATTTTTTAAATATTCAATCATCTTTTTAGAGATTATCGCACTTATCAAAGATGATTGCTACTTAGGTTAGTGAATTGAGCCTTCTTGAGACGGATGTTAATAAAATGAATTTCGGACCCTGGTGGCGTTCTGAAGTTCTGAAGCACCTAAAATGTTTAGATTTTTGCAATTATGGATATTGAACAAGTGTGAAAGAAATCCAGCGTAGTTAAAATTGAGAATGCCTGTTTCTTGTAATATGACAATAAAGCGCTCAGAGATCAATTCCTCAATATCTGAGTGCACGTGACCATACATTGCGTAAATATCCTTGAAAAATAGTTGAAAAAAAATAGATTTTTCCCGCAGAGCACATCCTTCTCTTTTTCGCTCTCTTTCCCAACGCCAATTCTTATATGAAAAAAGTTAACAGCTTTAAGACTACTCATCATGATATCACAAGATCATCTGTCGACTAATTTACCGTACGAACCTGATATATATGGAAAATGTGCTTCGATTAACTGATAATTATATATCAGCATTCGTTTAACGAATCATGTGAACCGATGACCCTAGAACTTCTTCCTAAAATTGTCCTACGTATCCACGAAACCTTAAACGAAATAATTGCAGCTATTTATTAAAATTAATTTAGTTTCTATGTATTTGAAAATCATTAAATTATTAAATTATCATACTTATTTCGTGATATTTGCAAAGTCGATAGACAAAAATATTCTTGTTATCATATTCTTAGAATAAAACGTGTGGTGTATTAACACTTTACTTTATTAATTTCTCCTTAATTAACATACACAACGTATTTTACACAACATTTCCTGAATAAACTCAGATTTTGCCTAAACATAATAGTTCTCAAAGTCCCGAAGATTCATGAAATGCTAGAGTACGTTTGAAAACAAGAGAGTGATAGTCAAATATATGGACACAAAGACCAAAACCAAGTATAGTCCGGTATCCAATATGTCACGGTAGATTTGGCCACCAGTCAGCAGCAAACGCGGAACCGCTACAAGGTGCGCAATTTTCAATACCGTCATCGCACACAAAAAACGAATCTCGTGAAACCCACAGAAATGTTGAAAAAAAATATAAACAGCCCTCTTGCGCAAAATACAATCTTTAGCCACTGGAATTTTTAAAAAAATTACTTTTTTCACAACAAGAAGAAAAAAAGAAGAAGAAAGTAATACGAGATGATTACCAATGACAGTGCAATGAGTGAATAAATGATTGGTATGGTACGTACATATGAGAGCCTATTCATGAAATCGTATTGGACTATAGTTGGAAATCAAGGAAAAAAAATTTGATCAATCAATGATATTTTTACTTGCTAAAATGTTATTTAAAATAAGTTCGTATTAATTTCTTCAAGATTTATTACATAGAATAAAGAACAAACATCTGGATTATCAAATACATTAAAAATGGAACAGGACTACAGCATAATAAAATTGTTACGCTGTTTTATATCACGAAATTTTCACAAAGCCAAAATTTGAAAACAATTGTTGCCATTTTTTTCAGTTTTGAGGTGTAACCACTTAGAAAATAATAAATAGAAGCCAGAAACAAAAACTGTGTTAAACAGTGTGATTAACCTAAATATATTAATAAACCCGTATTGAAGCCAGAAACTGTAACATACTATTATGCTTAATTACCCCTTAAATACCATATTTTCATCCGTAAGTATTTCTTTGTCTATTTTTGCAACGAATAATTTTCTATTAATATCCCATTTTCGACAAGTACACATTTGGCATTAATTTTCGACATTGTGATATTTCATGTAAAAACAAAATGATATAGATTACTCGTAAACCCCTAGAGATCTGACATCTTAACGTTCTAGATGAAAAAGAATTCGGTTAATTAAATTTTTTTTTTTCGAGAAATTTCTGAAAACTCGGTAATGTTATTGAGTTAATTCAATAACGGATTAAATACATTAAAAACATGATCCGCTTGCTACGTTGCACTACACAATCAGGCTGCTAAAAGGTGAAGTCTTACTGTATAAAATCAATTGACTCTGCTGCTATACTCGATTTGCCAACAAAAAAACTGAAATTTCTGTGGTTGTCAAATTTTTAGTTTATTCTCATCATTCATATGTATTGAACTAACAAAAAAATGTTTTTCTCAATTAGTAAACTGTCTTTGTCCACTTTTATGCTTTTGTTATTAGTCACGTTTCACATCAAAAAGATAGATTACATCTGAAAAATAAATATAATAAATCTGTAAATTTACATTCAAAATAAATTTTATTTAATTCTATTTTTCTTTACCTTCATTTTCCAAAGAATCGTCCAAATTTCTTTTTTTCCTCCATTTTATTTGGTCATGAGAATGTCTGAAATTATTGAAAAGTAAAACTCAATAAAAACATAATAAGCATAAGTCTTGTAAATAATCACTGGCATCGTTGAATATAAACTGCGATTTAAATGAGAATTCATGCTCGTAATATATTATCCATGTCGTAATACATAGGTAAACTATGTTTAAGTGTCTTCCAAAGCTTAGTTCCCCGCTACATAAAAGTTGATGCGCATAAATATGGAACGGCTTGTGAAAGTCCAATTAGTTCAGAAGCAAAATTTTACATGTATTACATAAATTAAATGTATACAGAAAACAATATCTGATAAGTAATCCATACAATTAGGTTGGTAAGAATTGTAGACAAAAAACATGACTTGAAAATCATAGTTCCACCTGCTTTGTTTTTTACTCTTTTCCTTTCTTTTCGCTTTATCATCAGAATTAATCGTTGCTTCAAAAATCTTGGTAACACTGAAAATAGCTTTATTAATGATGGAGATGAGTTGTTTGACGTCCAGACCTTCTGCTGGTTGAAACAATCCAAGACCAGCCCAGGATACCAAAAACAAAACGCTCCAGAATTTAACAGATACCATAACGACTAGAATTATGAAACTAAAAAAAAAATTGGGTTGAAAACGAGTTAAATTTTTCTATATGACATTTGTCGTAAATTTATTTTTATATTTATTATTTTCAATATTTTTCCTACTCGGCACGATCGTTTTTATGTTGGGGGATGGTGGCTGGCTTATTACTTCACTCCCGACAGTATTTTGTATACGCATTCATTGATTCGATGAAATTGATAAAACAATATAGTTGTGTCTTTACTCGCCAACTGTATATTTATGGAATTTACGCAAAGACAACCATCATATTGCTGATAAGTACTTTGCAAGAATAATTTGTTTATATCCCAAGTTCTCAAAAGCAAATTTGGTTTTGTATGTGTATATCCTTGTTGAAACTTTGACTGCGCGGATGGAAAGGTAAAGTGTTGAAGTTTAAAGTTGTACCTCAAATATTCCTCAAAATTTATTTTTTCCATCCTTGTAGTGAAGTTTCAACGATGATAATACACATACAAAACCAAATACGCTATCGGGAAGTTGTGATGTATACACTGTAAACTTCGTACATTGCCAGTATAAAATTTATCCCAAATCCGAACAGTTTAAACATTCTAACATGGCTCTTCTACATATAGAGTCTTCATCATAATCCTATCTCTTTCGCAGCTTTATACTTTTTAAAAGGCAGCGTCACGGGCTCAATCTATTAAAATATCTCTAATTAGAATTTTTCGACACGTTTGCACAATTTTCGTACTTGAAATTTATAGCGGAATATCGTACGTTTGAGAGCAATTATCTTGGTCGGAATTAAATTTCGAGAATTTGGATTTAATCTGATTAATATCCGCCATTACGCGAATTTTTTTTTATATCTTGATACAGAAATTGTGAGCCATGTTCTACTGGTAGTTTATTGACACTCAAAAACGCAATTCACATTTTAGAATTGAGAAAACAAGATGTGAAACCCATTAAATTCCAAGAAGAAACTGATTATTTTAGTAAATTTGAGAGACGATATTCTGATAAAGAATGCAACAATTTTGAATGGCATATCGTGAACCTAAATCTCACTGCAATTCTGGAACCTAGCGATTAAGATATTGAAATTACATTTACGTAAAACTGATTTACGCAAACTATCTAACGTTAGGTTAAATTCTGTGTAATTTATACAGCTATTACTCGCAATTAGACTATATTTCACAATCAACTTTGTCTACTCGCACGCAACTCATGGTGACACTGTAAAATAAGACAATAATTTGCCATCGAGCGAAATATTTGTTGTTGCAAAATATAATATTGTAATGTATGTTCTTGATTGAACCAGTTCTATAAAAAGTAATGGAGAATGATCTCACATCTTATTTTAGTATTCAACCCTATACGCCGACGCATGCAAACATCAAACATTTTATTGCTAGAACTGAATTTGTGATGGAATTTAATTTTATTGGCACTAGTGGATCAAGTTTGAGTGATATAATACTTCCCGATTTGAGAAAATTTTTTGATGCGAAATTTTTTCCACAGAAAAGCAACTGCGTCGTTTTACGGTTGCGCATCGTGGTTTGACGGCCAAAATGATATTATTCTGTGCGTTATCACCGTAAAGCAATTAACATAGCCAGACTTTTTTCGTCGTTACGATATTTCCAGTTGGCGCTGATAATGATAAATAAGAATGTGTAATCGTTGATTGCAATTTCCTTTCTCTCCACGAAACTGACATGAAAAGAATTTAACCGTTGTTATGGGCGCTCAAAAGAAGAGAAGGGTTATAATCGGAATCGAACAAAGCAGTGCGAGTAAGTAATTTGACTTTGTCGTGGCCTTGTTCGCGTTATTTGTCTGGTTGGTATTTTTTTGTTTGTGTGGGGGAGTAAATCCGCAACTCTTGAATCGATCGTTTTCAAATTTTTATCGCTTTAAACCAAGCCACTGGAAAGGTTATATATTATTGTTTTCGAATTTCCTTTGAGTCATAGTAGACTAGATATTTCACTCAGAATTTTAAAGTTAAAGTTTTGAAGTTATTTTAAGCCATGGAAAACTTTTTATGACATATGAGAAAACGTTATTCTTTCACGCTTGTCCACCACAAACTTCTCAGCAAACGCCTTCTTACCGGTAACGACTCACAACCTTTGGGTCCATTTATTTGTGTATTGCCCTATTGCTATCAATCGTTATAACCTTTATCATTGTACAATATTTTTTCTATCATTAAATCTAAAAAAACAAACGATCTACCTGCAATTTTTTCTTAAATTTTTCACAGTTATCGAAAGTACAATTCCTAAACTTCAAAGTGTAATTTATAACCACCATTTTAATGCAATGACACTTTCTGTCGTGATGTGCTTGATCATCATGAGTATAAATACAAATTGGAAAGTTTCAGCAGACCAATGGACGGAATGCAGCAAAACGTGCGGGCATGGATATCAAAAAATGAAATTTTGTCTAGGCGAGAGGTTCTGCGACACCCGGTCTTGTAATATTTGGCCCTGTTATCCCGGTGAGTAATCCTTATCAAATACTTCGTCATAATATGTCATATCGTCAAGGATAAAAACGCAAATGAAATCATAAACAAACAGTATCAGATACATGATAGAGATAGACAATATAAATTTCATCGGCATTAGTATGGACGAATTACCTCACATGTTTTACAAATTTTTCTCATAGATGGGGATGAATGTTCTCCGTGTATCAAATCGTGCGGGGGAGGACACTGATATGAGATTAAGATGTGTCGGATAAGAAACATATATATATATATATCCAAAGACATATGATGACTGCAACACACAACCATGTCCACCAAGTATGTCTTCACTACATTGTACACTGCAGTCGTGTTTACTTTTATTAGACTGACACGCTTTTTGCATTATTTGCTACTTGTAACTGGTTTACACAAACACAAAGCTCTGATTGTGCGGAATCGATGGTGCAGCGATAACTGTATTTAATTTATCTAGTGACGCAATTAGCCTGTAGCCTCTTTGGCCCGTGAGCATCAGAGACTTCAAATTTTGAATAATCAATGGGCTCTAAATTTCCAGATTTAGAAAGAATTCTGCGGGCCATTTGTTAACACTTGATCTGTTAGTAAAGCATGAAGTTTCACCGAAAAATTTGAACAGTTTAACATTTTTTGAAATTTGCACTCACGAATCTTCATTAACATGCTATAGCACTCGCATACTAACGAAACAAAGGCTTCCTCGACAACAGTACGGTGCGTTTTTGCTAGTGGGCCATGCATATCAAATAAACGATTTGTCAACTACCGAAAGAGAATCTTCAGTTTCATTTGTTTACAATCTGTTTGGTGTTTACATTTTATTGCTTTTATTTCTATTACACAAACTGTATTTCCCAAATTAACAACAAAAACTACATTTTGGAGAGATGTTCAGCAGGCGAAACATTCAGATATGGAAATCTTTCGTCGTGTTGCATACCTAGCACAGAAGATTGTGGAGTCCCAGACAGAAGCAGAGTACCTTAAATAGTATTCAATGGCAATCGGTCAAAGCAGGGGCAATGGGCATGGGCGGTAATATCATAAATGTTTCTTAAGCTATATACTGCTGATGCGGATTGTCTCATAGCGCCGTACATATTGATACATTTAAATTGATGACACTACCATAAATAAAGCATTTTAGATCCAATTTTATAGTGTAATGATAAATTCCAAACTTTATTGAATACTACCATCGACTTGCAATGTGCCATATTAGACAACATGATTATTTACCTTCAATATTGACTGTTGTTTAATGTGTTTCTAAAGGCACACATTGCAAACGCGACGACGCGTACAACTCACTGAGGTGGAAGTTTATTTCATCCAAAATGGATTCTATCGGCAGCACATTGCATGGTGTAAGTATTCCCCATAATGGAAGTTACGAAACGAGTATAATCGTTTTATATAATTAAAAAATACAAGTATAATCCAAATGTGGAACAGACATTTATTTTTTTTAATTGCAGTGATTTCAAAAAAAATCATTACTGCGTACTTCTCGGATCAGTAACTACTAAAAAGCCTCAAAAAAGATCACAAATAATAGATATAAAGAAATTTCATCCATATGAAAAATATGAAGATCCCAAATATTCATCTTTTTTAGTTTCTGCCAAATACGAGGCTTTAGAAATAGTCTGACAGTTCCATAAGGAATAAGTTACTTGTTGGTATATAATTTATAGGGATTCTCACAGGTAGTCTGTGCAATAGTAAATGCAGCATCATATTTCGAAATCACGTGTAGATGTTGACTTCCCCACAGTCACAAGTCTTATCCAGTATCGTAGCGTAAATGTATTCTGTGATCAGTTCTGTAATCAGTTTTCATTTTGTTTTATCAATTATTTCATCGTCTTTTATGCTGATTATGAAGCCAAAGTAAACGTATGCTTATTAATTACAGTTAAAAAAAAAATCAGCAACATACAACGTAAATGTGAAGCCGATTTGCCTACCGACAAACCTGAATATGATGAGCATTGTGTCGTGTCAGGGTGAGGAATAGGTATTTTTATTTAATTATTTACAGTCTTTCCAAACTTATATCGTTTACATGGAGTTGCTTCAAATATCTCGTTCGTACCAAGTTAAGAAAAACTCAAATCTTGCAATAAATATAGACGCTGAACAATGCCCCTTGGTTCAAAATCAACATTAGTACATTGATCTTGTTGTTTCAAAATTCGCCATTTTCATTACTCATGTTTGTTATACGTAGTCTTCTGTGGCGTGTTCATGTAATCAAAATTGTGATGATTATTACAAAATGCGCCACCACGTGGATGTTATTCCGACCGATTCTGGCGAGTCAATCGGTCAGACTCTAATTCCAGTCACTTTACGCTGCATCAGTTTATACTGATTCTGCGAAATATTTTTATAACATTGATATGCATATCCCAAAAACTTCTCTATATGTAAACGATATAATTACTTTGTATCGCCAACTTTGATTCATATTTAATAAGTCACCCGAAAAATTCATGTATTACATTTGTTAGCTGACGAAATGAAGACAATCGGAGTTCGAAAACAATTAATGCTT